GTTGGATAGCTTAGTTGGTTGGAGCGTCGAACAAAAAGTTTAAACCCGGACAGTTGTAAGATACGAATTCAAATCCTGCCACCACCAACTCAGCGCTTAATATTGGTACGCAAAAATATTGGTCAATAACGGACCCTACTTTGGATTAGTCTTAATGACTATTTGTGGCTGTTCCTATGCTAAGCCAACAATATCTTCGGATATAAGAACATTGCATAGAAAAATATAGTATGAAAATTCAAATAAAAAAAATTAATTAAAAAATTCTTATTATCACTTTAATTATTATACTCATTGCTCTGGAAATAATACTCATTGCTCTGGAAATAATTAACAGTCGTAATTAACACCTAAAGTTGTAACCAATAAGGGTTGTTATTGTGAAAATATCATTAATTAGTCAATTCGTTGAACTGGCATTATATAACGAGCCCATACACAGTATATGTTTGCTATATAGCTAAATTTAAATTATTTTCTAAAAGAAAATTTTAAAGCATCGGTCGAGAAGATATTAGACAATGTTCTGAATATTTAATTCATATATATAAACTATTTTGATATAACTCGTTAAGAATTTTGCCATTCACTTTTTTTATTGTTTTCTTAGTTCTACCTGCATGTTTTTACAAAATCAATATTTTCAAATAGTTTTGGCAGGCTTTTTGTTGCCCTCCTTATATTTGCATAATCAATGAAGCAATGAATTAAGGAATTCACAAATGGAAAAATACATCGTTTCAATAAACCTAGTCATTCTTGGTTTTAAATATTTTATATGTTGAAGCAAAATGTTGAATGACAAGAACTTCTAAAAATTTTATGTTTCTTTTTAATTTGTTTTTTGTTAAAAATTAGATATCTCAATTTAATAGAAAGGTTTTTATAAACTATACTTTTTTGTTTACTGAGGAATTATTTGCCAGAAAGCAATTATTTACTTCGTTTAATTTAAAGTTTATGTTTTTATAAAGACATTTTTTTCTTATAGATAAGTCGTTAGTTTTCCTTTAAAATTTCTAAGTTGGATTTTACAAGTAAGATTGTTTTCAAATTTTTATTTTTTAACCTTCTTTGGCTATTTAAATATTATTAATAAGAAGTAGGCAGGGGCGGATCCAGCATTTTTTGGTGTTTGAGATAGCTAACTTCCAGACATGGAGCAAACTCCAAACATTTATATGTTTATACTTATATCAAATAAGGATGGTTTGCAAAAAATTGCAATGATTGGAGCCTGGGAACAAAAAAGCCCCAAAATTTGAGACGTACCTGCCCCAAACGTGAGAGCAACAAGTTGATAAAATATTTTTTGTACTATTCTCAACAAGACTTACATTTATCCATAAATTTTAAACTTCATTGTAAAATATTTCAGCGTTCAAAAATTATGACCATGTAAAGTTTGAATCCCCCTCAATTCGAGGGGGTTACAATTTTTATATGGTCATAATTTTTGAGCGCTAAAATATTTTACAATGGAATTTAAAATTTATTGATAAATATAAGTCTTGTTGAGAATAGTACAAAAAATATTTTATCAACTTGTTGCTCTCACGTTTGGGGCAGGTACGTCTCAAATTTTGGGGCTTTTTTTTCCCCAGGCTCCAATCATCGCAATTTTTTGCAAACCATCCTTATTTGACATAAGTATAAACATATAAATGTTTGGAGTTAGCTACATGTCTGGAAGTTAGCTATCTCAAACACCAAAAAATGCTGGATCCACCCCTGGTAGGTACATACAAAATATTTGTTTTTGTTTTTATTTGTAAATTATAGAAAAGAACCCATTTAATTCAATATTAATTGACAATTAAAATCCAACTTTGTTCAACTATATCCTAAATAATTCAAACAATCTGTTACTTTAACAAAGCGAACAAACATAAAATAAACAAATAAAAATTTCGATTTTTATTTTTTTAAAGCTTATTAATTTTTACATTTAAATTTATCTTTAAGAAAATTAAAAATATTAAACTTATATTAAACCAGTAACAACTATTCTAATTGCTTTCAAAAAATACAAAATACTATTGACCAAATAACCTCCTCCAACCTTCTTAAATTATAATAGCTTTCTACTTGAATAAAAGTATTTAAAGTTATGGCTTTAACTAGATAAAACAACAAGAAAAGATAAATTTGGTAGAAAGAATAATTAATAGAATTCTATAGAAAGCGTTAGTAAAACGAACTTTTTAACAAGTATTGAAATGAATGGATTTAAAAATGAATGGGTTCAGAGAAGTTATCTACCTCTACTGTAATCTTCTAGCAGCAATTAAACTGATACATCTGTTGCTTCCATTTGTGCGTAAAATGTAAAGTAAGAAAAAAATAATCAAAGTACCAGCAAATTATTTTTTTAAAAGCGACATCAATAAAAAAAAATTAAAAAAACGAAATAATTGTGTGTAAAACATCTTTTTTATATTATTCCATTGACATTAATAAAACGGGCAAAATTGAAATTGCAAAAAGAGAAAAACGCAAAATAAAAATTAAAAAAATACACAATGCAAACCATGTATCGCAAAATTAAAATTAGAGACGAAACTAACTTTACGGCCGGTTTGTTCCGGTTGGTAAGGTTTTTTTAATATTAAAATGTAGTGCGCATTAAAACAAATGCTGAAGTATAATTTCAAATGGTTTTTTTATAAAAGTTTTTTATAGCTAGTAAGAAATGAACAAATGCAAGCGCCCACGCGTGTTACACATTTACTTAACAGGTTTAATTATTAATCAAAACCTGATTGTGACTTGATTAAAATAACCTCATTATAAGTTATAACAGTTTAAGTAATTTTCTAACAACTTAAGTAATACTTTATTTAACAATTATCTCATTGTAACTCATTTATTGTCTATATTGAACAGTAAGAAGAGTTTTAATGTATAAGGGCATGTGATACATGGTCATTAGCCATTTATTTTAAATTTGACTTTGTCTTTAACTTTCTTAAAAGGCCAAATTTTCTGAATATATACGCCCTAATTTCAATTGAGTTGTCTGCTATGAGCTTTCGCTGGGAAAACGTACGTAAAGTATAATTTCCAAAGTAATCTATTTCACGTGCAACTTGTTAATTTTTTTGTTTTGTAATTGTATAAGTATTAAGTGAGTTAAGCTAGATGATATTATTTTAGATGATATTAAAAAAAAGATTGGGCTGGAAGCGTAAGATATTTTTGATGGATTTTGATATTTAGAAAAAAAAGCTCATAAGTATTTTATCGTTAAAAAACTACTTACCATAAAAATTTCAAACTCTGGTAATAACAATGGCAACTAATTATAGCCGCCGCAAATACGAGCAGAAAAAAAAATTATAAATATTTTAACAATAAGCAGCATTTGTTAAAAAGTAAAAAACGTTTAAGAAGATTGATATTTAATTTAAGGTACATAAAGATTAAGTCGCCATTAATTAATATCAACTGTCTTTTTATAATATAAGTCTTTTGCAGTGCCAATTTTACGCAATATGGATTAGTCAGTGATAATCTTTTTAATATGATAGAAAAATGACATTTTTTTAAGTTAACCAATAGTTCAAAATCTGGATTACTGGTGGGTTTAAGAGCAAATTTACGGATCCACAATGTAATATAAAATTCTTGTTTAAATGGCCATTTTTACTTTTTACTTCGGGGTTATGAGGATAATCAGGGTCTTTTTTTTTTTTTTTTTTTTTGCTGTGGTATTTTCCGGAATTGTTTACGATAGAGATGATTTTTAATTTTTTTTTATATTTTATAAATAATTTAAAATAAAAATATTTGGTTTGTAGAAGATAACAAGTTAATTAAAACATTTAAGCCTAACTGTTGTCTTATTTTTATGGAATTATATTTAACTTTTTAATTTCTACTTTAAAAAGAACAAATATGTAAAACACAAATTTTTTAAAATATATATCTTGAATGATAGTTATTTTCACATAAAAAGAAGTGTTCATAAAGGAAAATTATTATTTTTCCATCTTCGTTAATATTATTGTTATTTTTTCTGTCTTGGTTTGATTTAAATATAATATATTAAAAGAATCAATAGGTATGTGTATAAAATAGATAATAAATAGGGGTAGGCATAAGCTAATGTAAATACACCGACATATATTAAGGGGCAGGCGTAGGTAAACATACATTGACTTGTACTTAGTGATAAGCGTTAGTCATATACATCGGCTAATGGGTTTTGGATGTGTCATTAAACGAATTTATTCAGCAAAAATGTGCATAATCTAGAAATCGTATCATTGATTACGGTTTGTTTTGTCTTGTTTCTTTTTGTTTTTAAGAAAATGTTTATTTATTTTACTTACATTGTTTTGTATTAATTGTATTTTTTAGTTTAAAATAATTTATTTTTTCTGAACCTTTTTTGAATGGCAAAAACATATTCAAAACATGTTTGTGTTTTATAAGACAAAACAAAAAGTTTTTTTTACAAAAAAAAAATGTTTTTTGTAAAAAAAAATTTCAAAAAACGTTTTTGTAAAATCCAAAATTTATTGTTATGGAAATGCTTAACTCTATATTTCATGGGATAAAAAATTCTTTCGTGTTGCAGACTTATTTTTCATGGGATAAAAAACTCTTTCGTGTTGCAGACTTATATTTCATGGGATAAAAAACTCTTTCGTGTTGCAGACTTATATTACAAAAAAAACTAAGTTACAAATGCTAAAACATACAGCAAAAAAAAAAAAAAAAAAAATTAAAAATAAAAATATTTTCACTAATAAATAATAATACAAACGCAGTAAATGGGTTGAGTTACTAGAGAAAAGTTTTAGGAAAGACTCAGTGGGGGAGGAGGAGGGGTAACTTTTATAAAATTTTACAGTTTCTTATTATTTTATTACATTTATTTATTATTTTTATTAGAATATTAAAGTATTAAAGCCATAGTCTTGAATGGTATTTCTTTAATATTTCTAGGGGGATATGGTGTTTGTATAACGAGACAAGTTATTTACTAAAATACATATAAAACAAAGCTTTCTTTTTTAAATAGATACAAATTTCTTCATAGCGAAAATAATGCATTCGAGACTATACCACAAACAATATACTATTAATACGAGTTATAAATATTGATATAGAACAGACGGCTAAATATTCCAATGTCGTATACAACACGTCAACCTTATCAAAACGTATCTCTTTACTGTCTCTGAGGAACAAATACTTGAAGATAGAAATGATTAATCCATGTTGCAACATCGAACTACTTTGGCAATATAACGTTGGCGTGTTGATATAAGACATAAAAAAATTGAAGAGCTGCCTTGCCCGTATATACATATTTAATATGAAGTATACACTTTATAGTTTGATATAAAACTTATTCTCTCAGTAAACTGAACAATCTCATAGAGCTAAATTTCGATAAAAAAATAATCGATTTATTTGACATAATTTTCTCTGTTGGTTTACTTCTAGTGTACAATGACTCAATGTTTTTTTTTTGTGAGGCGTTAGGTTTTTTTAAAAAAAGGTGTTCATATGGTGTTATATAATATTTTTAGCCCAAAAAATTGGCATTAAGTAGATTGTCCTCGTTGACCACTTCGTGACCGTTGATGACCTCAATACATTTATAGTAAACCTCAAGATATTTGTAAACATCCAAACAGGTTTGGTCGTGAAAGAAGAATTTAGTGCATCGGATTTCACACATTGTGGTTCCTTCACATGCATCTTTTACTTTTGTTAAGAATAAAGGAGTCGTTGGACAATATTTGTTCGTAACTAGATTTCCGGTATGTTCCGTACATAAACCGAAGTTTCTTCTCCCCCAAAATGCGGACATAATGGAAATATGTTTATATTCATTGCATCTCAACCAAGCAGTATCTTCTTCGCATTTTACTGTTCCATTCTAAATTAATTAATATTAAATAACCTCAACTCATTCAATCAATCTAAAAATTATCAAAGTGGTTTATCCACTATACATATAACAATTTGACCAGTTTAAAATAAAAAAATAAGACAAAATTTGAAAGCAATAAAAGAATTTACATGACTAATAAAGAAAAGCAAAAAAAAAAAATAAATAAATAAATAATATTTATACTTACATATCTAATTGGTGTAGGACCTGAATTACCAGCTGGACCTGGTAAACCAGGAGGACCTGGAGGACCAGGCATGCCACTGCCACCTGGCCATCCTGGTGCACCAGGAAGACCTGGAGGTCCAGGAAAACCATCATTTCCTGGAGGTCCTTGAGGACCAGGACCTCCTAAAAATCCGTTTATTCCCGGAGCACCTGGTGCACCTGGGTCACCTTTCCATCCAGGTGGACCTGGGGGACCCGGAAAACCTGCTGCACCAGGTAAACCATCTCTACCAGGTGGACCTTGAAGTCCCTTTAATATGAATCCAAGAGTAACATTTTGGTCTTTTAACAACTTATTGAGTAGCGGTGGTACAGGAGAAACGGGAAAAGAATGCTAAAATAAAATAAACAAAATTAACTATAATGGCATTATTTAGTATATTAAAACAAAAAACTTTTTTATTTAAGCTAAATATAATAAATATTTATTGGGCAGTTTAATTGTGTTAACACCGATAAACCATTGTTATTGTATATTATGAAAAATAGCAGAAATATAGTAATAACGTCAGGCACCATTGTTCAGTATTATATCTTTTGTGGCGGTAGCAAATTGAAAGGAAACTAGTTGCTGCTAGCAACATAAGAAATATTTGTTATGAAACAATAGTATTACCGTATAAGTATTCAAAATAAGTAATACTACAGCGCAAAAAATCATTTGGATGTTCCAATATGTTCTACCATTAGATAGCAATGCATCCGGCATATTACATTGAACAAAATTTTAACTAACAAAATTGTATTTAACCAAAAAACTAACAAAAACTCAGCTTGTATTATTTATTTCAATTTACGTCATCACGCCGTTATATCCAAAAGTCCATGTTTATACTTTATGGAGTGATTTAAGAAATCCGAAGTATTTTGATACAAATTTTCCTCCGGGCGCTTATACTTGCGAATATTTTTTTTTCTCGAACTTGCGCATAAACACGCTTGAATAGTTTACGCATAAATGCGTGTAGTTATAAAGTATTTAGAGGCTGGAGTTGGACCAGTGCGAACAAAACGTTTGTTTGGTTTGGAATGGAATGGCGTTCCATTAAGCAAAATTATAAACAATGTTAACAACTGACAACTGAAAGTTCAAAATGGATCTTAAATAGAAAACATGTTGCGAAACAGAAACTTAACCTTTAATTAAATGTTTTATAAAAAAAAAAAAATTATAACTTACTGCATGGTCAGTGTAGAGCACCACCACCACGGCCACTACAAGAGCCTGTGGCAATAACCTCATATCCTAGAAACCAAAAAATTTAAACAGTTAATTACGAAAGTACAAACACATAACAATTTAGTCTATTCGCTATAGTAAGTTAGACTTCGCATTACATGGCTATAAGTTTGATTGATTTCTGCCTTCTTCGTTTTCGAACCTGTTTGCTAACAGTTAGATCATCAATAGACTATGAATAATTAATGAGATTGTTTGAGGCTCATACCTTGAAAATCTATTCATAAAGCCATTTTGCCAGCCATCTGCCACCGCATGGCTGTTTTTAGAAACAACATTTGCAAACAACAAATTAATTTCTTTTTACAAAAAATAAGTTTTATAATATTTAAGTAACTATTATAATTTATAACTAAAATATATATTGATATTTTTATTACAAACTTATTGTTAAATGTTTCTAGTATTTACCATTGTTTATATTAATTTTATTTTTATTGCTAATTTTTATTCGCTATCATAAGTTTTAAAGTATTTGCATGCAAATATTTTTAAAATGAAAGTATTTACTTTTAAAATTTACAGAAAATGGTCTAATATTTAACATTTGGAGAGCATGTTTTTTCTGCATGATTTAAAAATAGAGGGGGAGGGGGTCGGCTTAAATAAATTTTTTCCAAAACATTGCTTAAAAGTTTTTCTTTGTTAAAAGTAAGAAAATCAATTTTAAAAATAATAAATTAAAAAGTTATGAAACATTTTTGTTCGTTTTTTTATGACCGTTTGTTCAAAATACATGTTATCGATGTAAGGGGGTTTTTTACGACTAACAAAAAGTTTTTGTTGTTGTTGTAGATTCTAATAATAGGAATATTAAGAACAACTATATACATATATATAGTTGTTATATATATATAGTTGTATATATATATAACAACTATATATATATATATAGTTGTTATATATATATACAACAAGTATATATATATATATATATATATATATATATATATATATATATATATATATATATATATATATATATATATATATATATATATATATATATATATATATATATATACTTATATAGTTACCATCATGTATGTGTTTTAGTTACTGTATAGAACATTTACTTAAGTTTATTCTTTATACTGTTACTTTCTTAGTTGTTTTATTTGTTTAATTATCAACCTTTTAAATGTCATTATAAACATGAAATTTAAACGCTGTTTACAGTATGCGCACACTCCTATTCCAATTTCTATATAACTATTTTGCTGTTGTTGTTGCGTGGGAAACATATAAGGTTGTAAAATGCATTTATATATCTATATAAAAACAGTGTCATTTAAATACTTTACTTAACCCGAATTTTTCAAATTTGGTTTAAATAAAGTATTTAACTCAAGATTGATTCTGAAAAGTAAACAGGACCTTGTCTTATTATTATTAAACAAGTTTACATTTAAAGTTGTTTTTTTAGCTACAATGATACGTAAAATATAAAAAATGATAAAAAATTTATATATACTTACTTATTATTGTGTAAAATTGTAGTCAATTTCTACTTTTTATAAGATAGAACGTTTTATGCGATAAATCTCAGGTTGACACTCTATTCATGCATAATCAAATATAAAAGTAGTAACTATATACTAATGTAATCGGTAAGTTTTTTATATGCAGAGACGATTCTGAGATTAAAAAGAGGGAAGGGGTTGAATCTTGAATAACTGTTAACTTCTTTTTTTCGACCGAAATGTGTCGAATTATGACTATCCGACTATAAGTTTTAAAATCGGCTTTTTGGGGGAAAGGAAGGGGTATCACACACACACACACACACACACACACACACACACACACACACACACACACACACACACACACACATACACACACATACACACACACACGCACACGCACACGCACACACACCCGTAAAATCGCCCCTGTGTATTATATATTAGAATGTAAAATGTGAATGTAAACACTTTGGCATTTTTTTTTACAAGAACGCGCTTCGAGCTAGCGTAACTAGCGTAACTGAGCTAGCATAACTAGCATAACTGAGCGTAACTTAACCAAGGATTTAATGACGACAGAGTTAGTTGGCATGTGAAATACAAGTTTATGCAATAATGACTGCAGATAAATAAAATAAATATTATAATAAAAATAAAAAAAATAAAAAAAAAAGAATAAATCAATCGATGTTTTAGTTACTCATAAACTTCCAATCAATTTTCCAAAAAGCTAAAAAAGCAAAGCAAAAGTCTTTTATACGCTTGCGCAATTCGTTTAATAATGAAAGGAGAGTTTTTTGAATAGATATAGTATGTTAATGTGATTTTTGATGTTTTCTGAAAAAAAAATAAAAAATCAGAACTTCAACTGTTAATCTCAATCCGCTCCTAAAGCCAAGAAGCCCCAGCCCCAGTCTTCCAATAAATTTTTGGTTAGAAATATAGTACTTAAATGTCTCCAATATCTAAAAATGCAATAAAAAAGTTTTTAGCGTTTAACTTTTTAAAATATTAAAAACAACCTTGAGAGAAATTTAAAGCTACTCCATTAGAAGTTATATTTTATTTCTCTATAATTTCAAAACAGTCTGACATTCCTTTTTTCATTTTTCGCAACTACAATTTCTTCATATATTTTTAGCCTCTATATGGCAATATTTTAGCATCTATATGGCAAATAACCAGGGAAGGATAAACCGCAACACCTTAAATATTTTAATGAAAATCTTTTCCAGAAAACATTTCTGTAGTAAAAAAACTCATCACTTTTTATTCATCAGTATTCATAATAACAGTGAGTAACTATCATCAAAACACTTTTGTACTTTCAATAATTTAAGGACATCAACACCATAGAAGATTGAAATAACATGACACAGAGATTAGCAAACAACATGACACAGAGGATAGCAGACAACATGATACAGAGGGTAGCAAAAAAAATGAAAAAAAAATATTCAAAAATTAAAAAGCATTTACATAATAAAAAGTGTTGATGCAAAGAAAATAAAGTTAAAAAGCATTTATATAAAAAAATAAACAAAAAACAAAGTTAAAAAAACTTATAAATAAAAGTTAAATCTATTACGATTTGCTCTTTATAAAAATTAAATTAAAAAAACTTTAATAAAGTGCGTTTTTGACATATATATACGTATATCCAAAATAAATATGACATATATAATATAAAAGAATATAATTTTTAAACTAAATTTTCTTCATGTTTAATATTTTCTGCATGTTCAATATTTTTGTAATAGAGATCGCAACTTGTTTTTTTTTTTTGTTTTATTGCCATACTGAAAAAAAAAAAAAAAAACAGGACTATGATAATGCAAGTGTTATTTAAAATGACTGTAAAAAACTTATTTTTGTTTTGCTTTGTGAAGTTAGCCCTTTGTAAAAAACTTAAAGTTGTTGGTTTACCCCTTTGAAAAGAATCCTAAAAAATCTAACTAAACTAATGATCTAAATTATTTAAGCGAAAATTCCTGAGTTGAAAATGAAAAAAAAGGCCTTGAAATATAGACCTTGAAAAAGGCCAAAATATAGACCTTGTTTGGCGCCTTGTTTAATCGCTAAATATAGTTTTAAGGTAGATAAACTTATATGCTAAATTAAACTTTAGTAATTTCTATTTTGCATTTTCCCAAGAAATGTTATAATAAAATTTTTTAAGCAGCGCCAATACTAGCAATTCGAACATAAAAATTTTCAAATAGAGGTTTCCAATTGTAAGATGTCAAATAAAGGTTTTCAATTGTAAGATGTCAAATAGAGGTTTCCAATAGTAAGATGTCAAATAGAGGTTTCCAATAGTAAGATGTCAAATAGAGGTTTCCAATTGTAAGATGTCAAATAAAGGTTTTCAATTGTAAGATGTCAAATAGAGGTTTCCAATAGTAAGATGTCAAATAGAGGTTTCCAATTGTAAGATGTCAAATAGAGGCTTTCAATTGCAAGATGTCAAATAGAGGTTTCCAATAGTAAGATGTCAAATAGAGGTTTCCAATAGTAAGATGTCAATTTGGGGTTTTCAATAGTAAGATGTCAAATAGAGGTTTCCAATAGTAAGATGTCAAATAGAGGTTTCCAATAGTAAGATGTCAAGTAGAGGTTTCCAATTGTAAGATGTCAAATAAAGGTTTTCAATTGTAAGATGTCAAATAGAGGTTTCCAATACTAAGATGTCAAATAGAGGTTTCCAATAGTAAGATGTCAAATAGAGGTTTCCAATTGTAAGATGTCAAATAAAGGTTTTCAATTGTAAGATGTCAAATAGAGGTTTCCAATAGTAAGATGTCAAATCGAGGTTTCCAATAGTAAGATGTCAATTTGGGGTTTTCAATAGTAAGATGTCAAATAGAGGTTTCCAATAGTAAGATGTTAAAAGTAATCTTTAGAGTCTACTATTTTAACTCTTTTTATAATTTTATGCAAGTCTTAATGCTAATTCACAGAATCAGTTTATTATTAAAACTTAAATCTTTGACTTTTAGATCAATGATGATACTTCTCTCTGATACGTGAATTGGAGTGAAAAGTTTTAAATTATAAATATTTTTAATAATAAAAATAATAATTAAATAATTAAAAAAAATTGTAAAATCAATTAAAGGGTAAAAATTTAAATACTGTTAGTGGCAAGCTGATTTATTTAATTGTTTATGTAAACTTTTCATAATGCTTTGTTATTATTTATACACTGTGTAATTCGTTTTAATTTATGTACTGTGCACTTCTTTTTAATTTATGCACTGTGTACGTCCTTTTAATTTATGCACTGTGCACTTCTTTTTAATTTATGCACTGTGTATTTCTTTTTAAAGGAGGCAAAAGTACTGTAAATATCAATTGTCTTTTTTTGCTATTGCTACTTTTATATTATTATTATTACTATTATTATTTATTATGTCTATTTTTTATTTATTTATTGTGATAAGATTTGTTACCGTCTACTTTTATATTTTATTGCATATGCAGTTTTTGAAATGTTAGTTTTATCTTTCCATAAATCTTATCATCAATTATGTGAGAGACAAAAATTAATGTGAACTAAAACTCATGTTTGTGTTGAAAACTAAAACTTCTACAAACATTTATGATATATTTATATGAACATATAAATATTTATGATATATTTATATAAATATACAAATACTTATATGAATTTTATTAACTACCCGTTAAACTCGTTGCACCTTAAAAATATGTTTTCATCTTTAACTTTAGTTACAATATTTAATTAAGTTACTTTTTTTTTTATTATTTTTATCTAAATGACTTAATATTTATTTAATGATATTTATTACAATTAATAAAGTTTGGTTTTACAGATTGGTTCAGTTGTTACATTCATTACACAAAATGGCTTACAGCGATATATAACACTATATCATACTCTAAATTACTATTACATGAAATCATTGATCATTGTCTAACAATCAAATACAAAATTGTTAAATACAAAGATACGCATACACGTTTGAAAACATCCGTTAAAAGCAAAAAGTAAATAAGAATCTAGATTAAACATCAAAAACAATAAAATAATTATTTTTTGATTGATATCACACACACACACACACACACACACACACACACACACACACACACACACACACACACACACACACACACACACACACACATATTTTTTAAAGAGCATATTATCAAGAAAATTACGGAAATTTGTCCATTATTTCGTGTAGTTGTTACACGATTAATGAGTTAAATGAGTTTTCGAGACCATCAAGTTTGCGTTCACGCTTTTTAGTTATTTTTTAACCTTGAAAAAACCTTAATAAAAACTGAATGCGTCTAAACACAATATTTACAATAGAAGAAAATTTGACTCAGAGAGGAAAAGAGATTTAAAATGAATAGCAATACATTTTGAAACAAAATTAGTTGAAATTAAGGTAATGCAGTGCAATTTATTTTTTAATTCCGAAACAAACAAATTTAACTCGTTGTATCTTAATGCATTTTGCTCTCCATGTATTTTAATGTTTTTGCTGACAAATGCAACGAGAGAATTTATCAGCTGTTCATGACAGAAAATACAACGTATAGTCGATATTTAAATAATTGATTTAATATCGATAATATCGATATTCAAATAAATTTACTTTGAAGTTTTTTTAATACTATTATTATTGTTGTTGTTGTTGCTGTTGTTAAAATTATTGCTAAATTTTATCATTATTATTGTTATTATTATAATTATCTTTGGAGAATAGACATGCATTTTTTTATATTTAAAAATCAATAACTGAAAACAAAACAAGTAGCGGAAAAATATAGATATTTCGATTTATACCGCAAAAAAAAAAAAAAAAAAAATACATACAATCTTTTTTATGTCAACCTCAAATTCATTTCATATATCAGCAGTAACAACATGAAAAAAAAACTGCAAATATTTTTGCAAACAAATATGAGAACTCCCAGCTTGTGCAAAAGAGAGCGCAAAAAAGCTTTGCACGGTTATATGATTTTATTTCAAGTTTGTGCATTGGAACAAAATGTTTGCATACAAATAATTTACCTTTAAACAACTGTTAGTTAAATTTAATTAAAATTTTTCTTTCCAATTCTTTTCAACCAACAAGTTCAGTTGACTCCCTACAGAGTCAGATACTTTTATAAACAATATCTATCCTCGCGCTATATTCCGCGGTCAGAGTATTTCACGCCAAACAACGCATGCGCAAAATTGCAAATTTTCAGGTAGAAAAACGTTATTGGAAAGTTACGTATATAAATCGATTGTTCCGCAGATTGAAATTGTCATGCCGAAAGTAAGTGTGTTTAACTGAGATAATATGATTCAATGAACAAAAACAATTAAAACTCGCAAACTCGCGCTAATGAACGCAACGCACGGTTTGCAAGAGTAACTAAAACAGCTTAATTAAACAAATTAACAGCGCGTTTGTTTATTGTTTGAAACGAATCAAACTATTTTGTTGTTTGATTGTGTTTACTTTCAAAAGGCTTGTTTCTTAACAAAATCTGTCTGTAAATCAAATTAAAGTTATTAGCGCTGCATAAACAGTTTTATAAATCAAATTGAATGGGCATTATTACTAACAAATTAAAGTTAATTTTATTTTAAGTGATAAACGTACAATATAATTAACGTAAATTGTAGAGTATAATTTTTGAATAAAGTTTGAAGCCAATCAAATTTTAGATGTGGAACGAACAAAATTTCAAACTTTTTTCATTTCTATTTTTATTATTATTATTATAGCTTTTTGGAGAAATAGCTAAGATAGGTATTTGTAGACTTAACACTGCTGATAATTCTAAAAACAAATATATTCCAAAAATAGTTGCATAAAATTTTGATGTCAGACTGTCTATGTTTTAAAGACTGCTTATAGTCGAACAATCTTTTGTCAAATGTATTTTAATAATTTTAAATTACTCCTAAATACAATTTACATTATCATATTTATATATTAAAATTCTAATAATTTTATTGACCTTAGATGCTTTTTTTATAAAGGGCTGCAATCATCAAGTATTAACAACAAATTTTTTTTTCCAAATTATGCAAGGGGGCGATCATCCTCCCCTATTTTGCTTTGCCCCTATTTCTAAGCTTCTTATTCTTTACCTTAACCGTGTTAATAATAAAAAAAACATATAGCTTTACCTAAGCTATATTTAAACGACTATTGTGTTTAAAAATATATGTAGCTTTGACCAACGACATTTAAAACCTACGACGATTTATGACGTTTTTATTTTCAAGCAATTTCAGAATAAATGGCGTTCAGTTTTCTGAAATATAACACTAGTTAGTTGAATTGGATTTCCGACTTTTAGCAGTTTTTATTCTGTTTTGTTTACTAAAAAAATTATAACTCTTCACAGTTATATATATATATATATATATATATATATATATATATATATATATATATATATATATATATATATATATATAATATATATATATATATATATATATATATATATATATATACACTCCAAGCATATATATGTTTATACTAAAATTTTGGAGCTTTTTTATTCCCAGGCTCCAATCATTGAAGTTTTTTGCATAGCATCCTTATTTGACATAAGTATAAACAATATATGCTTGGAGTTGGAGTATATATATATATATATATATATATATATATATATATATATATATATATATATATATATATATATATATATATATATATATATATATATATATATATATATATATATATGTATATATATATATATATATATATATATATATATATATATATATATATATATATATATATATATATATATATATATATATATATATATATATATATATATATATATATATATATATATATATATATATATATATATATACGCAGTAGCTGATCTATTGAATATCATATTTTGAATTCAAGTTATAGAGCATTAAAGTTGTGTATTCCGTCGGGATGTTCTTGTATTGCGTCGGGATATTTTATTTTTATGCTTTATGTTTGATGCTACGTCAGACCATATTTGTCAATTTCTAGTTTAAATTATATAATTTAACTTCTTTACTTTAGAATAAATCGAAATCTTTGTCATGATTATATTTCAAAGTATATATTTATGCATTTTATCTAAATACACATATTTATTTCATTTTTTTTTTAATCTTATTTCTGTTCTGTCTTATTCTTCAGTGCGATCGATAAAAATGTTAGTGACAAAGTTTGCTATCGTTTTTGTCATTTGATCTTTTAAATTTAAACTCATTTCACTATTTAAAAATGGAATGGATGAGAATAGAAAATTTTGGTAAAAAAGTTTCCAAAAATTAACGTCTTTGTTTTTTCGTTTGAAATCTTATTTTTCATAAAATGCTAAAATGTTTTATTTATTCCCAGAACGTGTATAGTATGAGGAACAAATTGTAAAAATATTTCAAGCCTCAGGAAATATTTCACTTTCAACCATAGATTGCTGTGATACATTTAAAAGTAGAAAATACATATACACATCAACTAACAGATTTTAGCTTAGGCTAACTAAAGCACTCTTTCAGGGTTGTTTTTTTATTTTTTACGTTAACAAGCAGTTCAAAACTTTTTTAAGTATACTCAAAGCTTTCGATGCTTACATTGTTGTTGTTTTTTTGTTTTGTTTTTAAGGTTTCGAGCTAAAGCTATTTTTACATTATTGACGTGAGATAGAAACCGGTGAAAACAAATTAATTAAAAACTCCATCTTTTTATTTTTTGATCTTTTTTTAAAAAATGTAAATCGTTCAAAAAATGAGGTTGTTCTAAACTTTATATCTTTTGAGCGCCAAAATATATTTTGATCAAATACTAATATTTAAATCTTAGCATTAACAGTTACAATTTTCCCATTGACAAAAAATCTATTTGAAATCAAGAAAAATGTTTCACCTCTGTACACACGAAACATGAATAAATTTCAAATAGATAATTGTACATAAATTTCAAATATAAATTTCGCACAAATGAAAAGCTGCAAACAATATTTTAAATATTATAATTTGTTACAAAAAATAATTTATTTTTTCAATATAAATATATCATTAAAAATCTTCTTTTTGAACGATATTTAACAATAATAGTTCTTAATTTCTCACCATTATGTACATTTTTTTAGACACAACACATCTTTTCAGTGTCTTGTTTAGGTTTTTATGCACTGCTTCGGATGTTAGTACTGATAGGGGAAAGTCGGGTAGCCCCGGACGGCGGGTAACTCCAGACACTTAATGTAATGCTTAAACTAAAGAAGCTATGTGACTTTTAATACTAGAATAACATTATTTGAGTGAAAATATAGCATATGCAAAATATCTATCATAAAATGTCGAAGCGATTGACTGGGAGGGCAAGATTTTTTTCATCATCATATTTGATTCACATATTAATATACCTAATTTTTATGTAAACTAATAGCTTTTTAATGATTAAATATATATTTTTATTTACAATAGTTATTAAAAAAAAATTCGTTAAAAAGTTTAATTCACTAGTTTTAAAACTAGTATTTGTGAATGAGGTATGATCGGGTGGTATCGGACACATGTTTGGAGGGTGGCTCTGGACAACTTAATTCGTTTACATATTAATAATAAACAACTTTTTTTATAATGATATTAATACATTTAATCTAATGCACAAACCTATAACAGTAATTCATTTAATTCCAATAAAAAAACATTAGATTTGAAAAAAATGTTTTTAAAGTGTTTATTTTCATTATAAAAAAGCTTATGTTTATATTTTTAAATGATGACATTTTCATTCTCATTTCATATATATCAGAGGCAACTTTTAAAGGCGATTTTTTTAGAAATGTGTCAAGCACAGTCCAAAGTTAAATTATTGTATATTAAATTTGTGTCACACTGGTAAAAAAGAGGTAAAATCATAGTTAAACTATGTGTCCGGGGCTACCCTCCAATTTTGAAACATGCTTTTTTTCTAACATTTTTTCTTTTATGTTTTGTATATTATTAAGAGACACAATAATTATATTTTTGTTTCTAATTCGATAGATGAATGTTGGAACTTTTAAAAAAAGTCTTTTGAAACTTTTTTTTCTGTTAGCACATGTGTACAATCTATAACCCCAAAATAATAAAACAAAATAAAACTTTTCTTTTACATAGCCAAAATGAGTTTTCTTTGTTTAATGTTTTTATCATTTTTTATATTGTTGTTTAGTTTTGTTTAGATTTTGTTACCGGTCTTTACACAGCTACTCGAATTTTTCAGTTAATACTACGTACCCGTAATTCTACGGGTACGTAGTATTATTTTACGCTTACTACTGAGTTGTTTTAATAATTTTTTATTTTATACGTTTTTTTGTTTTTATTGTTGTACAGTTTCTTTGTACAAATTTAGCTTCACCTATTCAGAATTTCCTTTATCCATCGTTAGTTATGCTTTGTCTAATAACTAATGGCTTCCCATTAATGTCTAACAAACCCGGTATTGCTAAGTGACATTTATTTTAAAGAACTTTTTAAATCACTGACAATAAATGTTGACTACAAAAAAATGATCATTTTTATTAAGTAAAAATTAGTGAAATTTTGCATTAGAATATTTCATTTGCAAAAAATTAATTATAAAAAAAAAAAAAAAAATTGATTTTCCATTTTAAAAAAACCATCTTAGTGGGGAAGATGTAGCCAAGTGCCAAACTGATCTAAACTAATCCTTACCTGGGTTTGGCCCTTATGAAAACATACACTTACTTGAGTTTTAGTTCTTGTAAGTAACTAACCCCGTTAGCTGGTATATCGCATAATTCTAATTTCATTTGCATTGAAACTAGAATTAAGCATGTATCTCCAGTTAAAACGCAATAAAAAAAGAGGCGCAGCTAAAGGTTCATTTTTATACAGATTTTTACTCAAGATTAGTCTATCTTTTAAGTTTAATTCTAACTGTTTATTTCTTTTACGCCATACATCTTTGAACTTCTTAAACACTTTACTCTCGGTTTGTGACGCTTAGTTGGAGTTAAGTTGCTTTATGATATCCTCTTTATGTGGTTTCACTAGCTAGAGGAGAAAAAAGCACTATATAAAATAACATAAGTAATTAATTAAATAATTAATTAATCAGTTATTAATTATTGTTGGAAATTTATAGTTCTATTAGCTAACATATTTTAGGAAGCCGTGGTGCAGTGGTAAGAGATTCGGCTTAAAACCAAGAGGTTCAAGATTCAATGCCGGCTTTGTATAGATAAGGAGACATGAACTTCCTTGTTAAATGCTTTTCCACTGTACTCTGTGAGACCTTTAGGTCTTCTTGGAGCGCCTTAATAGTTACTTTTAAAATAAAAAAACTTTTTTTCGGTAAGTGATTAACTTCTTTAAGATTGAGAAGTATGAAATACTAAGTAAGACTAATAGCAGCTCAGTTTAACTTAATAAAACGGTGTCAAAATTGGTTTTTTGAGCAGCCCCTGTCAATAACGCTTAAAAGTAACTATTACTTAACAAACATTAACAGTAGCCATAGTAACAAAACCCAAACCTAGTTAAACATGCACAGTGTTAACTTTAGTCGAATGAGCAGCCATTTGTATCCCAACACTACGACAACTATAACGCTACATTATATCAATGTAACACCCTTAACTTAACTTTACTATTGGTCATTCTAAAGGTAATAATTATAAAGGTAATAATTATAAAGGTAATAATTGTGTCACTAGCAATCTATTTACCAGATAAATATGCCACCGTCTAAGAAAATATAAAGACTAATTTTTGTCACAAACTTTTTTTTCTTTAATATTGACTCTACATAAAAACTTCTAAAAATATATGAGTATATATATATATAAACAACAATAACAACTGTTATTAAGGCGTTAGAAAATATTTACATATTAACAATTTGGATTTCAAATTAGAATGTACGTTTAACGCTTGCCCATTAAATATTTGAATTAGTTGTTACAAAACGTTGTTATTTTATAACAAACGGGAAAGGCGAAACAAAAGAAAGCTTGTTTAAAACACTACCGGCGTTTAAAAAAATATTAGCTTTTGAATAATGCACAAAATGGAAATTTTCTTTTATGGAATTATTTTTAATCAGTAAAAGGTTCCTTCTTTAATTTTTTTTTGAATTGCTAAAAATAGGCTAAACTAAGGTTTGAACACATTCTCCATATAACATCATAACACTTTCTTCTGCATTTTTAATTGAAAAGCTAACTGTTTTATTTTCGTTATTTGGAATTTTATAAAATGGCGAGCTTATCAGTTCAGAAGTCTCTGTTTCATTAGAACTACAACAAGAATCTCGGCGGCAGTGGTCAAACTGACGTTTTACGCTTAAAGATTTTTGTTGTTGGGATGGTTTAATAATATTGCTGATATTAGTATTAGAAGTACCGTCATTATTTTGATGACTTACAAGAAAATCTTTTTTTATTTTTAATATTCCCTTTCTAGGAAAGTATTTTTTTTCAAATTCATCATTTTCGTTATATTCAACCAAGTCTTTTTCGTATAAAAAGTCTTCACTTCCCTCTGATGTTTTAGTTACATTTTGATGATACGTTGGTACACAATGGCGGGTCGATGAAGGTGCAACGTCTATATGATCAACTGTTAGTTTAATGTCATTAGTAACTTGAATATCGTTATTAACATGAAAATTGTTTCTATTTTTGTTAAGAGAGGTGTCTTCATTATAAAACTGTATAACATGTGGACGGGCTTTACTATAATTTGATGTGAACCAACAACGTTTGACAATAAACAAGAGAGTTGCACAGGTTGCTATTGCGCCAATAGAAATCACTACAGCATATAAAAGTTTACTGTTAATAACAATTACTGATTCTTTTTCGTTGATTGGTATGGATGTTGTGTTGGCTATATTTGTTGATTCAACTAGCAAAGTTGCATCATGAGTGTTTTTAGGATGCAAAGTTGACTGTTTAGTTAAGTACGTAAAAAATATTGAAAATGTGGTTGCATTAATGTTATTATCAGGTATTGAAGTGGTAGGTGCTTTATTAAATTTTTCTATTTCATTAACAGTTCCTGTACATTCTAATGGTCCGATTTCCACCGATGACCGATGATTTGTACGGAGTCGGCTAATTTTTATTTTTGATATAGGAAGTTCGTTTTTCTCAGTAAAAAATCCATCATCAAATCGCATATAATTATCTGCGACATCACAATTACAATATAAACTGGAATCGATGCAAGTTTTGTTACTGGCACAGCCGCATGAAAATGAATTGTTTTTTCCACCAGCCCAATAGTTTCTAAGGGCACCTTTTCGTGAATACCATCTTACTCCTAGTTGCGTTGAAGGGAGATAACTTTCTTTTGAATTCATAAGAGTGGAGGCGTAACAGTTGTATCTGACATATTGCCTACACTCCCTGCTTGCTGCAACCAAGTTGTTGATTTGATGTTTGCTTGCTTTGTACGATATAGAATGATAAAAAAAATTATCGTCAAAAGTATTTCCAGTAAATACAAATATTTCTTTAAAAACTGGTTCAATGATAGTTGTGCCTTTACCTTCAGACAAATTCATTTTGCATTTTACATAAAATGGTAGCGTAGAACCAGGTTTAACAAAGTACCCTCCACTGTGTCTGTAACCAATTTGAAAGTAAGAACTGCATGAGGGTTGGTAACGAATGTTATCCATTATATCACAATACTTTCCTGAATAACCTGTAAAATTGCAGTTGCACAGCTGTCCATTCCAGTTTTGAAAGCATTGACCACCGTTTTTGCACGGATTATTTGGAAAGCACAAATCTTTCATAGCGCACATTTTCTCTTCATAAGAGATAATCAATGATTGATTTAAAAAAAAAGTAATAGGAGTACGTGTACTGCTTATAAAAACATCTTTTAAACAGCCTATAATTCCAGGAATATTAGCAAAGCTTCCCCCAAATGATAACCTTTCAGGTAAATTAAACACAATCGGTTTGCTAAATGAAAACATCATAGTGTTAGCGTCAACAGATAAAGAAGCATATAAATCATTGATTTCTATTTGAATTAAGTGCCATGTTCCGTCATCGTTACTTTTATCGGAATGTAAAAGTGAGAAAGAAAATAAAGATGAAAGGTTACCATCGAGCCGAAATTCTTTCTTGTTTAGATATAGGTAAATTGAAGGATAAGTATTGCTTGAAATGTATTTCATTATGATTCCAGTCTGAACATAGGTTTTTAAAGACATTTCTAAAAATAAAGTTTTTGAATTAACGGGATATTTAATTTCTATCGATTCATCTATAGAAGTAAAGGATTTTAAAAAGTTTGGAGTCGAAATGTTACATCCTAAAATTAGGCGACCTACAAATGATGTTCCTGGGAACAAGTTCGTATCATATTTGTATAATGCTAATTCCATTTTGTTAAACGTTATTGTATTTAGACACCCTTTAAAGTTTCGTGTAGTAAGCAACTCTTTTCTAGATATTCTCCATTCATTTAGTGGCATACCCATAAAGTAGGCAACCTCGTCCAAATCAAATCGAAGATCATTAGCACCGCTTTGTTTAACAGTAATGTTTGGATTTCCAGAAGGATAGCTATAGACATAAATTTTAGTAAACTCGCCAATTTCTATATTAACCTGGTGATAAAAACCATCTGCAAAGTTTCCTGAGTGTATAATAGTAAGTTGTGTTTCGGAAGCAAATCCATCGCTATTACCAACGTATCTAAAAGCAAGTAACTTAGTAAAAAATGTTAATTACAGTTTTTTAACTTTTTGTTAAAAAAGCTGTAAGCAACATTTATATATATATATATATATATATATATATATAATATATATATATATATATATATATATATATATATATATATAATGTTAGTATAGCCTACAAATAGAGTGTTTGATGTTCATAAAAAAAAAGCAATAATAAATTAGTAAAAGCGCTTATCTAACTTATACTTCGATAGGCTGTTTCTTCTTTTGTAGGTTCATCAGGAAGCTAATTGATGAATCTACAGAATGAGATGCAGCCTGTCGATGTAAAAATTAGATGAGTGTTTTTACAAATTTATATAGAGAAATTATAAATGCTTACCTTATGTTGCCGTGAAATAATTCTATAGCAATAAAATCTCCGGTTGATCCACTTGCATAAAATAGTAAACCAGACGACTGCGTTGTTTGAAAATTGATGCTGATTTCATTTGTCGTTTTGTACAAAGGGTTTATAACAAGTGAAGATGTTAGATACTGAGTTCCGTCAAATGTAACCATTTCATCATTGCATCTAGCATAACTGATTAATAAAGTCATCATAAAACCTAAATTCATCCTGGACAACCTGGACACCAAGTTTATTTATATATGGAGATCCAACCTTTGCATTGCAATCTTTAAATAAAATACGGAAAACGAATTAACTGCTAGTATAATATAGTAAACAAGGCAATTAAGAATCAAACAATAAAAAACAGGTTGTTTTTTTTTAATATGTTTCGACAAATTAGGATTAGGTTTCTAGTCAACCCATGATTGTTTTTAAAACTTTGAACCTTTTTATTTTGTTTATAAAGGACATAAAGCATTAAAGAAAAGAATAAAAAACGATAATAAATTATGTAGCGTTGAGAAAAACTTAAAAAGACCATCTGGATACCATCTTTCTCAATCAGTTGCGAATATATTTTAAACGATTTTAGATAAATGCGACAGTTAACGATTTTTAAAATAATTATTCAAGTTTTGAACTCCGCGCAAAAATGATTTCGTATTTAGTATTGGATTAGGAGGAAATAGGGAGAGGGCATGGTACCCCCTCTTTTTCTCTAATATTCTCTTCTTTCGATCTAAATCTTTTATATTTATAAACTTTTATTATGGAAACTTAATCCGCTTTTCAAGGTGCATATCTAGATCCAGATTTCTTTTCACGCACACAATGCTTATTTTATGAATAAAATAAGAAGTATTGTTACGTTAGTTTTACTGAAACAAATGCCAAAGAAAAAATAATGAAACGGAACGAATAAAAGAAATGCTGCAAAGCGATTTATAAACCATGTTACCACTAGAATAATTGGTAAATCAAAACTTTATTTTCGTATTGGTTAATTAAAACCAATACAAAAATGCAGTAGGAAAAGTAGAAAATGTAGTAGAAAACGCAGCCCATTACAAAATCGATTTTTGATAAATGCAACGCTAGTCTGTATGAATGTCTTATAAAAATTCTTAAAATTAAAAAAAAAAAGATTTTATGTTGCAGATGTTGAGGCTTTTGGTTTTTTATTCTTTTTAAAAATTAAAAAATAAGATTTAGTTGCAATACATAAATAACTTAATTGCAAAAAATAGTATTTTAGAATTACAAAAAATATCGAAAATTATAAATCAATATAAAAACTTATAAACCAACATAAAGTAAAAAACAAATAAAAGAATAATTTTAATTATTTATTAACCTTACTTACCTGACCTAAAAGCAATGGATTTAAAAATGGCAGTCTTCTTATATAACTATAATGTACTTTTAAATTTCATGAATGGTTCTAATCGTGGCTTTTGCACAAAAATCTGATTTAAACAAACAAATTTGTAAAAGAAGAACTCTTATCTCCATGGAAATCCAATAAGATTTTTAAAATGCATGTATCTTACAAACACATGAAATTTTTCTGTATGAATAGGCATTACAGAAACATTTAGTCATTATATAACAAATCTGTTTATGAACTTTACTAAACAATTCAGGAAAGCTTTGATTAAATTTTTTAGTATTTTTCGTGAGGCATTTCAGTTACTTAAAATGGCAAAAAGATGGTAATAAAAAGGAAGAACCCTTTTGTAAACAATCAGTTTTTGACATACTCAAAAATTCATCATTGAGTAATAAAATGAAATTTTTTAATTTAGTTGTTTATTTTTTTGTTAAATATATTGTCTCTGTTTTATTTTATTTTTTTTATTATTGTGTTGATTTTATAACTTGAAAATTTAGAATTTTTTTACGTTTGGTTTGTAAATACTATGTTCATATTGTTACTGTGTTTATTTTATACCTAAATTTTTTTTTTATTATTAATATATAGAAAAAAAAGTTCCTGTTTTCCCGTAATTTTTATTCAGCCTCTAGGAATTGAGGAATGTCAAAGATTTGGCAATAAAAAAAACTCTAATTAGTACTATTTATTGTAAATAAATTTTTAGTTCGTATTTAAAATAATTTGTAGTTGTTTTTTAAGATTGGAAATAATAAATTAGGCAGTACTTTACTTTTTTATTTTTATTTTTTTAATTTAGTCTTTTGAACATTGCTCATGGTAGTAAAAATGTTGCTATTCTGGCTGCACTATATAAACGTGTAAAACATTAGATTCGTTCAAAAAAAATTTCTTAACACTGCAAAAAGTGGTCATCGTTTTTCATATTAACTTTGTTTGCTAAGACATCTTCTAGTACTAAATGTTAATTAAAAGTATTCGGGTAAAATACGTGTTGAAATCAACAACATTTCTACCACCTTGCTTTAACAAAGTTTTGGATAAGAGTTATTTCGTACGATTTTGGAATTACGGAAGTAATTTTCAGAGGAGGAATCAAAGTTACGTTTTTGATAGCTTTACCTCAGGTAACACTTTAATCTAACACATAAACACACACATATACACACAAACACACACGCAAGTACACACACACGCACTCGCACATACACGTTTGTGTCAAAATCAAATTGATATGGATTGTTTTGTTATTAATGTACTTTGGTTAACTCGCATGGTTTAACTTTCTGTTTGTTTACATATATGTATATATATATATGTATATATATATACATACATACATACATACATACATACATACATACATACATACATACATATATACATACATACATACATACATACATACATACATACATACATACATACGTACTTACATACATACATACATACATACATACATACATACATACATACATACATACATACATACATACATACATACATACATACATACATACATACATACATACATACATACATACATACATACATACATACATACATACATACATACATACATACATACTTACATACATACATACATACATACATACATACATACATACATACATACATACATACATACATACATACATACATACATACATACATACATACATACATACATACATACATACATACATACATACATACATACATACATACATACATACATACATACATGCATACATACATACATACATACATACATACATACATACATACATACGTACTTACATACATACATACATACATACATACATACATACATACATACATACATACGTACTTACATACATACATACATACATACATACATACATACATACATACATACATACATACATACATACATACATACATACATACATACATACATAAATAAATAAATATATATATATATATATATATATATATATATATATATATATATATATATATATATATATATATATATATATATATATATATATATATATATATATATATATATATATATATATATATATATTATAACAACTAATTGTTTTTTTTTAACTATCTAAAGTTTTAGCTGAAAAAAAAACAAGTTCTTTGTTATTTTTTTCAGCTTAAAAAAATCGCATTCTTTTTAGCCGAAAAAATAAACAGCGAATATGTTTTTTATTCCAGCTAAAAACATTATTGAAAATATTTTTTACGCTGTTGTAAACGACCAGTAACTGCGTTCTCTTTATATTTAGTATGAGACCAATTTTTCGTAATTTTGATTTAATTTAGTTTTAATTTAAATTATAAGTTTGAAATAAAACTTTGTTAATATTTACAGCATTTTATAATATTCTTTAATCATATATGTATGTAAATAAGAATTAAATTTCATAATTTCTTAAAGAGATAAGACTGTTGATTTCTTTTGTGCTGTTCAAAGCTATTTACTTCTGCAGTACAAGTAAATATACTTTATTTATTTATTTAAGTAAATATACTTTATTTAAAATGTGCTTCTTATATGTGAATTATTTATTTAAGTGTAAAGTGAAAAGAAAATATTTATTTTATTATTTTTGCATTTAAAATCAAACTTTGTTTTAACAGTAGTTATCGAAATAGTAAAATATTTTGTGGTAGTTTTTACAGCAGTTTTTTAATACCCATATGTCGTGGTTTCTAGAAACTTCTCAAAATATCTAATAATTCCAATATCACAAAAGTAAGCAATATGCCTTTTGCACATAAAAAGCGAAAATATGCTGCTTTACTTTTTATTGCAAAGATAATAAAAATAGTTTTGTCAAAACCAAGCCGACGTTTTATTCATGCAATCAATTAAAGTTTCAAAAAAACACAAAACAACTTGCAGTTGTTTTGAATATGAGCACATTGCATCGCATATAATGTCAACATAGAATAACGCGTCTTCTAGAACAGTAAAACATTGTCACAAATAAATGAAGGTTTAATTCAAAAAACAGGTCAAGTGATTTGAGTTATAATAATTAACTCCAGACAAATAATTAACTTTTTTTAAAATCGTATCATAAAGTAATATTTATTGGCAATACTTTATTGTATCATTAAATAAAGTGCTTCTTTTTTATGTAAGGTAGTTTTTTAGTTAAAAACTTGTAGAGGAGCAACACATAATTGACTAACGTGTTTTTAAATTATGAAACCCAGTTGTTAGCACTAAAAATTAATGATGATGATGCTGGAAGTTAATAATCAGTTTTCCGAGTTTTTCACTCAATTGAAAGCATTATCAAAAATCAAAGGCAGCAGTTCGTAATTTGTTAATTTTTTAGAGACTGAGGTCGTGAAGAATTATAAATATTTTTTTAATCTTACTTTTTTTTTTGAATATGAACATTTTTATAAATTTAAAAATCATTTGGAATTTTTTTTTTATTAGGTTTTAAATCAATAAAAAGTGTATAAAAACATTTAGATGCTGCAAATGTGTAATAACCAGTAAACCTTTTATTGTATATATAAAAAAAATAAAAAATTAATATATATGATAACAGGATAACAAATAAATACATTTACTACAAGCAAGGCCGGCGCGATAGGGGTGTGTGTGTGGGGGGGGGGGGTGACCCCCCCCTTCATCAATGATTTTTAGTCGGCAAACTGGACCCTTAGTCGGCAAATCGGACCTTTTTAGACTAGTTAGTCGGCAAATGTTGACCCTTTCGATATAGGTTAGACAGTCGGCAAATGTCGTAATGACAGTCGGCAAATTTTGGAAAACGAGGACCTTTTTTTTTCTTTTTTTTTTTTTTTTTTTTTTTTAGTTGGCAAAAGTTGTAATGGCACCCCACCCCCCCCCCCCCCCCACGTGACGCCTACTCGCCTACAAGTTATTAAAATTATTAAACAATTTCTTAAAGTAGCTAATTTTATATTCCTTGTAATTCGGTTAAATTAATTTTTATAAGATACAAGTGGTTTTCACGAGCAAGAAGACTTTTTTTCTACAGAGAACGTTAGCTTTTGTTTAATTACGTTAATGATTTAAAAATTTATTTTATACAAATTTAACAATTTTCATTAAACTATCTGTTAAAGTCATGTATATTTACCTGTTTAAATTATTTAACGTAATTTAACTTATATAAAACAAAACCTATATAACTTATATAAAAAAAAATAGTTATACTTAATATAGATTTTCTACTAATTTGACTTATAATTATTTCAAACAAAAATTAAAAGAAGTTATTTTTTCTCTAGAAAACATCTTTATTTACTTTATTTACTACTTACTCATCTTTATTTACTAACGATTATATATTTTTCAGTTTTATTTTAATTTTGTTAATTTTACAGTAATCCATATAACTTGACTACGGAAATTGTAAATTTATATTATTTAAATATTGTTGAAACTATAAATTGTACAGGGCTTCGTGGTAAGATCTATATGATCTTTTTAAAGTCCTTCCATTAATCTTTTATGTACATTTTATTTAACATAATTATTTAACGAAATCTAAAACTTAATTCAGCTTCTTTAGTTTTGTAAAACCTTGGTAATCTTTTAGTTGTTAAAACTCAATAATTGACATGTTCAAAATATTTTAAATTATTTGAAACTACGTTTTTAAATCTTAAGTTATCTTTTTGTGTGAATTTTGTTTTTGTGTCTAGAATTGTTTAAGAAAAACATTAGCACAGTTCAAAAGAATGAATATCTCTACATAGTTAAAAAACTATATCTAATGCCATTTTTAGGCCTAATATTGTAAAAACTTAATCATGCTAATACAATAAACACCTCCCTAGCCTCACCCCTGATAGTTTAAGAAGATTATTCTTAACTAAGTTTAACTCAATTGACTTTTTGATTACTCTGTTAACAAAAAAATGCACGGTTAACAAAAGGAATGTGACAAATGTCTTAGCAAAATGCAAAAACAATTATTGAAAATTTTTTTTTTTTTTTTTTTTCTGTTTTATTATTTTAAATTTTTTTTTCAAGTTTGTTTTTAATATAATTTAATTCGTGAAAGTGATTTCTGTAAAATATGTTTAAGCGCACTCTTAAAAGGTATTTAAAAAAAAGTAAAATACTATAAAAATATATTAATAAAACACGTGCTCTTTGTAGAGGAAATGTAGAATTAAGCAGGCTTCAAGATGCTTTTATTTAAACCAATGTATTTATAGAAACACGTTGCTTTCGTGCAAACGTCTAAATAGTTGATTATTAGATTGATTATTATTTTATAACTTGTGTTTATGTACTTAATTAGAAATGGAAAACTTGGATACAAATATAACTCAAAATGAACTTTGTAACAAAAATGGTTCTTCAAATAAACTTTCGGAAAATCAAAATAAAGGTGTGTGGATATTTGGTTACGCGTCTCTTATGTGGAATGCTAACTTCAAATATTCAAAATCGCGTATAGGTTACATAAAAAATTTTGTAAGAAGATTTTGGCAAGGCAGCACAGATCATAGAGGAGTTCCAGGAAAAGTAACTAATTTTTAAGTTTTATTTTGATAGGTTGTTTTTAAAACTTTGATAATTATTTGACAGACCGATAGAAAATACGAACTAACAGCGTATATCAGCACGACAGACGAAAGTACCAAAGTCAACAACTTTGTAGAAATTTTCAAGGCATTTAAATATCCATGTTTTTAGATAAATATAAAGCGTTTTTAAACAAATGCGTGGTTGAAAAACAGTACTTTTAATTGTTATTATCAACCTCGATTTTAAAATCACAAAATTTACTCCTGGTTAGTTTTTAAGGCTCATTACTATGATTTTGACCTTAAAACTTGTGGCTTTTATTTTTAAAATTTTTCGCCTATCAGACGCCTCATGATATTAGAAAAAGTGACGTAGCAAAAAAGAGTAAACCCATGAGAATTTAGGGGACCTGAGTTCGATGTCTGTTCTAGCTAGATGAGCAGATTCGGTAAGGCAGTGTGAACTAACTGCGCGGTGCTATGTGATAAGACCGATGGTTTTCTTGAAACAGCTAAATAAACTAGGAAAATTTATATTTCAAAAATAGCGGTGTAACAATAGAAAGCTACAAATATTAAATGATTACTTTTACAACTAGACAATGGCTGTCTGACAGTTGAAAAGCAATTCTAAATAATTGTACTATATCATCAAATATGATAAACGCATAAATGAAAAGTGTTATCGATATTAATTGATATGAATAATATTTAGCATTAGAAAAAAGATAATGTATTTTAAAAAAGCAAACGATCTTTTATTATCTTTTAATCCCTATTTCACAAAATAATGTTTTTTGCATGAAAATTTTCAAAATAAGTTTTGAACAAAACAAAACCAAAAATAAACACTTCTAGAATATAGAAATGACAACACGTCATCTGAATTGTTTTATTAGGTTTCTAGATAAAGTTTCAATGAATTATCAAATTTAAGTCTACTTTTACCAGTTCAAAAGTATCAACAAAACTAACATCGCTAATAAAAGAATCTACCGTTTAAAAGATTAAAAAAAGGATGGCTTAAATGGCTTAAAAGAAGTTACTTTCACCATTAATGCTTCTCAGGTTTTAAGAATTTGTTTTATATATATACACTTAAGATTCCAAACATACTTAAGAACTTTTTATTGATATTAATTTTGATATTCTCTAATTTTGGTTCATAATGTGCCATGTTGTATTCTGCAAACATTATGCTACGCTATATTCTGCAATTTTTATGCTTTGCTTCATTTTGCAGTTTCATTAAGTTTTTAAAATAATATAAGTTATAATCATTATTAGTGTTTAAATAATGTTAAGTAGTGTTAATGTTATTTATTGTTAGATAATACTTTTCATTTATGAGTTTTTCACATCTAAGTTTTTTTTTTGTTGTTGCGATTTTAAAAAATTGGTCTGTGTTAATTTACCCCGCTTGGTCTGTGGTCTGTGAACCCCTATTGGTCTGTGGAATTACCCCGCTCCAAAAGAGCGGGGTAATTCCAGAGTCGTAAGCTTTGATAAGCAGTAAACTAAGTGATAAGCTAAGGGCAGAATTTCAGATTTTCAAAATATAAAAAGAAGTGGCATTGATTTCAGCTGCTGTGCTTTTGTCTAATGTGTCTAGTTTTATTTTGACATTTGATGGAGAAAATTTTATATATGGATTTAAAGTATAATAAGGGGCGGACGCAGGATTTTTTTATGTTTCAGATACGATACTTTCAGACATTCAAACTACAAGCTTAAGTCTGTTTATGGTTTCAAATAAGAATGTTTTGTAAAAAAAAAAATGTGGTAATTGGAGCCTGGGAATAAAAATATTCTAAAAAGTTTGCAGCTCAACCCCAAATGTGAGGGTTATGAATTTTAAAATTAATTTAGTTTATTATCCTATACTAAATATAAATTTATCAACAGGTTTTCAATTTTATTTAATATCCATTTAGTGTTTGAAAGTAACGACTTTGTAAACTCTCCACCCTTCCCAAAATTTCACCTAGTAATAACTTTTGAACACAAAGATGAAATTTAAAATCTGTCAATGAATTTAAATTTTTTAAATTAAAATATTTAAGAAACCTATTGCCCTCACATTTGGAGTTAGGGCTGCAAACTTTTTAGGGTACTTTTGTACCCAGGCTCCAATCACCGCAATTTTTACAAAATATTCTCATTTGGAATAAGAATTAATCTACAATCATTTTTTACAATACCTGAAAATGTCATATCTGAAAAATAAAAATATCTTTCGTCTTTTATGTATACAATCTTTTTATAAACTGTTGCATCTAATACAACTCATACCATTATGAAGTCTTTTTATTTATTTGTATAAAACTTTCTTTATTAAATTTTTTATTTCTAATAACATATTTACAGAACGTATATATTAAACTTAATCAATCATATTTATAAAACACCCTTCAATAGTTAAAGTACTGATTTATTATATGCCAACTTGACTTGACAGCAAGGTCAGTGTCAATTTCAACAGCTAATTAGATATTAGAATACCACTTTGTACATTAAAACTATCTTTAACCTTTAACTTAATCTTCATTTATCAATTATCTTTAACTTAATCTTCAAGAATCTGTTTATTAAAGAATCGTTTCACGATTGTGATTAAACTAAAAAGCTTGACCACTGAATCAAGGAAACATAGTATGAAAAGCAAAAAAATAAAAAGACGCTCTAAAGTTCATAACTGGTTATTACAGCTAAAGCAAAAAAACCTAAATCAAACTAGTTTTATCCTTTCTATTTCTAACGTCTTTTTTAATTCGCACCAATGCTACGTTTAAAAGCATTAAAGTCAAATATCAATCCACATGTAAAATTTTGAATCATGCTTACCAAAAAAAAAAAAAAAAACTTTTCAAACATGGCTAGATATTGTACTTTAAAAAAATAAATAAAGGTATAGATTCAGATATATATAGGTATGATCAAACTTTTATTTTGATAAGGATGACAGTTTTTTTCTTTTGTTAGAAAATGCTGAAAATCTTTTATTTTTTATATTTCTGTAAAACTTCATAAAGGGATCAATAAATGGTAATTAAATTTGAAATAACGATGAATTACAGGCTATGTATTGCTATGATTTTTAAAAAAAGGTTAAAATAAAATATATTTTATTTTGCTTGTTCATTTGTTATCATTTAGCCTGGCAGAGTTGCAACTTTAATTCCAACTGAGAGGGACAAGGTAAAAATTTACTGATTTTTGTATCATAATAAACCACGCGTTGGATTTAGTAATAATTGCATAATATTTCTTACTTTTACAGCACATTGTTTGGGGCAAAGCATACTTCATTGAACCAGCAGACGTTCAAGAAACGTTCGAAATATTGGATTATCGAGAAAAAGGAGGATATTCCCAACAAATATGCGACTTTTATCCGCGCGAAAACGAAGAAGCTGTAATACCCGTTGTTGTTTACAATGCGGTGGAAGGTAATGAGAATTTCCTCGGTGAAGCATGTATTGACGACATAGCGAAACAAATTAGTAAATCAGTTGGACCGAGCGGTCCAAATAAAGATTATTTATACAAGCTGTGTGAAACTCTAAATGAGTTCGACATTGCTACAGAAGACGATAAGATGCACACAATGGAATTAAATAAGCTCGTAAAAAATATACTAGGCGATTAAATGTATGATGACAATCTGATGAAGAAAGAATAAGTAAAAAATACACAAGTCACTTTTTTTCTGTGTTTAAATATGTATATCTCCCAATATTACAATAATAATAATAAAAAAGTAATATATAACAAGCTATGCAATAAACTATAACAATCTTGAAGAATTTTACATTATATACATAACATGATAAAAACATATATATATATATACACACACTTATACATTAATAAACGTTATATATACAGAGCCATGGATAGGCTCCTCCGCATCCCCCAATTGGAGGGGTCCAGCAATTTTAGGGGGATCATTTGGAATTTTTAGAAGCCTTTTTAAGGGCAAATTATTTGGTAATACCTAGGGCAAAAATTTTTAAAATTTTTGCCCTATTTTAAATTTTTTAAATTTTTGCCCTAGGTATTACCAAACAATTTTTAGGCGGGGCCTTTTTTTATAGTTGCCACGGCACTATATATATATATATATATATATATATATATATATATATATATATATATATATATATATATATATATATATATATATATATATATATATATATATATATATATATATATATACATATATATATATATACATATATATATATATACATACACTAATGTATAGATAGATAACATTTAGATTTTTTTCAATGCGTTAATCAATAACATTAACGAAATAAATGTTTGAGAACATAAGAATCCCAAATTTATACAATCAAATACAATATTAGTATAAATATAAATGTATAAATATTATACAGAAATAAACTGTATAAATGTTTTACACTTAAATTTATTTCATTAAAAAGAAAAAGAAAATACTGCTAGTAAAATGTAAAATGCTATGACAAACAATTGTACCGTTATAGGATATACAATTGTTAGATACACAACAAGAGTATACAACAGATACACAACAAATAAAAAGATACACAATGATAGGATTTATTGCATAGCGTTTATCTACTTATTTGCTTTGTTAAAATCGTATTTCAAAGAAATAAATATAAGTATTATTTATACCGTATATAAATCATCAACAAACCTTGTTATCGGTTTTAAAAACTCAACAATCTAAGACAGGTTTCTTACAAACATTAATACTGTCATCATTCAACTGATGACATAATTCAACTGATGAGCTCATATAAATGATGCATCCCAAGAAATTAAGACAAAAAGTACTTAATCCCACGCAGTGTTCTCTATCTCATTACAAACATCCATTTGAAAAAGGTTGCAGTTATCGTCAATGTAATCTGATGCATCACCACTCAATCTTTGTTACAAAGAAGAAACAAAATAAGATTTACAACTATGCGCAAAAAAAACACAGACAAACAAAATACTATAACAAATAGTATAATATAAATAATATTCTGCAATATAAATGATACAATAAGTATGATAATATATATATATATATATATATACATATATATATATATATATATATATATATATATATATATATATATATATATATATATATATATATATATATATATATATATATATATATATATATATATATATATATATGTATATATATATATGTATATATATATATATATATATATATATATATATATATATATATATATATATATATATATATATATATATATATATATATATATATATATATATATATATATATATATATATATATATATATATATATATATATATATATATATATATATCCAACGCCCCATATTTTCAAAATTTGATCTGTCCCTATTCTTAAAACCATCTGTTGGTTCTCACGAGACACTGTTAAATTTTTTCAAAATTGAATGAGATTTAGGGGGGCCACATTAAGTCTGAAACTTGCAACGAGACCCTAAACAGAAGAAAAAAAAGTTTTTCAAATGTATGTCATGTTGGGTCTCAAAAGAAGCGAAACTTTATAAAAATTTCAAAAATAGTTATGATTTTTTGTTAAAAATACCTTGAAATAAAATTTTGACTAAAAACCATGAAAAAATGGCTTTTTTTAAAAATAAAATTGCAATAAAACTTATAATAATAAATATTATGTAAAATTTTTATTGTTTTTGAAATTTTTTTTAATAAAATTTCGCTTCTTTTGAGACCCAACATGACATACATTTGAAAAACTTTTTTTTCTTCTGTCTAGGGTCTCGTCACAAGTTTCAGATTGAGGTGGCCCCCCTAAATCTCATTCAATTTTGAAAAAATTTAACAGAGTGTCTTGTGAGTACCAATAGAAAGTTTTAAGAATAGAGAGATCAATTTTTGAAAGTATGAGGCGTTGGATGCACCCTAATATATATATATATATATATATATATATATATATATATATATATATATATATATATATATATATATATATATATATATATATATATATATATGATAAAATAACACTGTATATAAAAACTTTTTGATTAAGAAATATTTTTAGGGGTGCTTCAAGACCCTTGAACATCAGGATTGGAAAAAAACCCAACCCATATGGTTTTTTTTGGGCTTTTTTAAAAACTGATTGTAAATCTAAATTTTTATCATTCTACATGTACTATAAATTTTATAAATTCACTATCCCATTGCTCCACTACAGTCAAGAGAGCTACTCAATTTTAAATTTATCAATTCACCTTCCCAGTGTCCACTACAATCAAAAGAGCCAATCATTTTGTTAAAAATATTATACTTTATTTGCAACTCTCTCTCAATCTCAGAAACTCAGAAACACAAGCACACTTTAAACTGGCTGCATGGAGAAACAGATCAAGCACAGTAATTTCAGAGGGCAACTCCGACTCCACAGCCCTGTTTATCATATAAAACACATTAAGGTGCATGCTGCAGATATTTTTCAAAAAGGTTCCAGTGCTATTGGGCTGGATAATACCCTGTATTATATGTTAACTATAATGTAAATAATATAATATGCTATAATAAAAATAATATATATAGTCAAATACAATAATATATATACAATTACAGTCCTAATGTTATGTAGAGAGAAAATCAAAATAATAATAAGAACATATATTCCCTATATAAACTAAAATAACTTGTATTCACCTTAATCCTGTGCACTTAAAGAAAACAATTCTCTTTATTTGCTTGTTAAAAAAGAAGTAGTTAAAAGACCAAACACTTCCCTCTTCTCCAAACGGATCAGTTTCCATATCAGGATGGTAGCTAAAAACATTTTCATATTTAGTGAGTTTTAATGTTTAATCAAAAGTGTTTTAAAAAAGTTTTCAAAAAACAAGTTTGAGCTTTTGTATAACAAAGTTCAATTAAGTTTGAGGTCATTGTTACAGATTTCGAAATTCACAACTATTTTCAAAATTGATAAAAAAAAAAAGAAAGTTAGAAAAAAAAACTTGAAAAAGTAGAAATTTGTTCATGTGAGTGAGAGTTAAAAAATAAAACACAAATTTGCAAGAGTAGTAGTAGAAAAATCAGAAAAACAAACAAGAAAGAACAAACAGGCAAAGATGAAATATTTAAATAAAATGTACATGTTTTCTACCAAAAAAAATGTACATGTTGTCTACCAAAAAATACCCAACAACATGTACATGTTATTGGGTATTTTTTTTTTAACTGATTAATGGTTTTTAATGCATATATGGCAAAAAAGCCAACAGCATGTCTTTGTGCCACAGTACTACAACTAACATTACCTCAATTTACAATTTAATTTTTTTACTTTAGTGTGCAATAATGGCAGCAGAAATTTTGACATCTACAGTTGATTTGCATTTAACGATACAATCTAATTTTATAAATGTTTTTCTTGGTCTCCCACTACATGAACATTCTTTTAAACCATATCCACATTAAATAATATTAATATACAATAATATTATTTAATGATTGACTTGCTTCTAAATAATAGTAATTTCATCTTCCCCTGTGAATTTTTTTATATTTATCTCACAAACTTGGATATGTGTATGCAGAGACATGTTTATGCTTTCATAACCTTCTTTAAATTAAATGTAAACATTTAATAGGTTAATTCATAAAGGCGTCTTTTATCAACTTAATGTATAATTACCTATGTTACAGAAAGCTTTTACACATGTAAGTATAGCAATAAATACATTCATAAACAATTTATTTACTACATTATTTTGTTTCCTATATCTAATACTAACATCTCATAATAATTAAAAACCATTAAGGTTTTTTAAAAAATAAATTACATAAATAAATAAAGTACAAAATGTTACTGGCCGAAAACTTTAGCACACCACTGTATATGATGCAGCAACCATTTTTTGATCCTCTTAACTCAAAACACAAACCTTGATGAATATGCTGTGCTGTACTATTGCAAATAGGTTATAAAACTCTGTGCCTCTTACATACAAAGCAAGCATTCTACCACTACAATCATACCACATTTATATCACATGCTATCACTATCCTATTCATACTACAACATACCAACATAAATATATAAAAACTTATTGACATAAATATATAAAAACTTATCACAAGTTAAAGCAAAAATTTAGTTTCATAATACAAAAGTTTTTCTAGCAACTTTTGAATTGCAACTAATCTCAGCAAACTTCACAAATAATTTTAATCCAGCTTCTTAAAAATTCTGAATTCCTTTTATTTTGCAATAGAATAATATCATTGAAAATACAATTTTTATGAGGGGCAATAATTGTTAGATTGTTGTTGTATGCCAATCTAACTTGTTGAATGTCGAGAACAGTTTTTCTAAGTTGTAATTAACTCTAAAACTTGATTAAAAAAACAAAAACTTTTTACATTAAACCTTTTAGAAGTTTTTAAATTTTATTAATACTTTTTCCGCTTTAAAAATTAAAAATCAGTTTTAACTTTATTTGGAGAACGCTTACCTGTATATCTGACAATTTTGTAAGTTAATCTCATCATTAATAGCTTTCCACATATCAGTACTTAAAATTGCAAATTCTTCACCCATAGCTGTAGACAAGAGGGAGTTAACATTGTTAATAACCCAAGGCAAATCTGGTTCTCTGCTAAACTCTTCTGATTTCACATGGGAAAACTCATAATCTGGAAATGATGCATTCAAAGTTGATATTAAAGTAAACAACATTTTTCTGTTCATAACTAAAACTATATTAGAGGAATCTTCATCAGTACTTGATAAACGACTGCGAGATTGAAATGTTGATTGTGGAGAAACACTGTTCTTTTGCACTTGAGACTCAGAAGGAGCCAAAGCCTCTAAATCTTTGGGACTATGGCCATGCATGTTAAGTTCTTTATATAGTCTTTTATCATTAGTAGTCATTTTACATGAATAACTCTCAATACTAAATTAAACAAAACAGTAAAAATTTTATAGAATTTATAAAATAATATTTAGAGAATTTATATATATATATATATATATATATATATATATATATATATATATATATATATATATATATATATATATATATATATATACACGCACACAAATAATTTTAAATATATTCTTCAAATTAGAGTGCTCAATGTTCATAAAATAACAAAGGAATAATAAATTAGGAGTCGTCCATAAAGTATGTACGCTCATAGGGGGCAGGGGTCTTAAAAAAAAAAAGCTTAAAGAAGGGGGAGGGGGGAGGGTTCAATTTAAAACTACGTACTTTCTTAATTTAACACAATTAACCAGCTAATCAATAGAAAAGTTAAAATTCTGACTTGTTTGCCAACATAAAAAGATGTATGGTATAGAAGAGTCGAGGGTATAGTTTCCCTCTATGTACACACATGCCACCCCTTGTATACTGGCCCTGTGTAAGGTGTATTTCCGGCAACCTCTTCTTTGAATCCACAAAAAACAGGTTTAAGCAGTGCCATGGCTAATGGGTCGGAGGCCCCCCCACAAAAAAAACAACATAAAATCTTCCAAATTTTACTGCTAAGTTTTGCTAAAATAGAAAGCTCCTTAAATTAGCAAAAGAGCACAAAATCTGCTACCCCCACCCATCCCAATTAAGGAGTATGAGTAGCCTACCCGTGACACTGGGTTTTAGGATTTATTTTCAATATTACTGATCTTGTGATCTTGTAAGACTCGTTTTTAACGGACTTATTAAAATATAGCTTATTTTTATTTGATTTGACATTGAAACAAAAAAAAGTACAATATAACTTGACAGTGACTCGAACTCCAGTCTCCGCTGCCGTAGTCCATAGCATTTACCTCCCGGCCAAGCAAATACATTGATAACCCATAATTTAACTTAATAATAGTTGTATATATTTAAAGACATGTCTTTTAAAGTGGGATCCTGTGCTGCAAACAAAGGGCTTTGGGGTCGTATAAAGTATCTAAGGTACCCCTCCACCTTTTTTTTCAATAAACTTTTTTATTGTAAAAAAAAAAAGTTGGGGGTAGGGGGTACTTCAAAAACGTACATACTTTTTAGGAGGGAGAGGGGACACCTTAATAGAAAACCACTTATCTTTTTTTTGTTTGTTTGTTAATAAAAGGTTTATTCATAAATTATCACGCTCTTGAGGAGGGGGAGAGGGGAAAAGTATATGGTTTTGTGACAATTTGTATAGGACTTGTTACTAAAGAGTTACTATGTTGTGATGAGGGGAGAGGGGGTCAAAAATTGCATGATGTAATTTACAGACAAACTCTAAAGACTTATCAGATATAAATTCTCAAATCAATCTACGCATTAAGCATTTATTATTTAAAACAAGGCCTGTAATCTTACTGATGGTAAATGTTTTGGATATTATGTCATCTCATAGGATCTGAGCTGAGAACCAGACAATGAGTAAGCGTAAAGTTACACCAGAGATAATTTTAGAGAGTTTCATATATAATGTGTCAAAGCGAACTCTATCAAAGGCCTTACTAATGTCAATGAATGCTAAATGCATATTTGAGCCATGTGACAGGTAAAAATTTTAAATATCTTTTAAAATAAGAATGAGCATAAAAGTGCTGTGGTTTTTCTTAAATCCGAATTGATTGGGAGTCTCAATGAAGCTTTCATTAACATGTGAGACAAAAATATATTCCTGAATCTTGGAGAAAATTGTAACTAAAGCAATTGGATGATAGTAATCGAAGATGTTACCATTCTTATTTTTAACCATGGGATAAATAACATATAAATTATTTTTATAATAATGTCAACATATTCTACAAATTTGTGATATTCTACTCATGTGCAAAATATTACAGTAGTTAAGACACTTATGACTTCCTTTAATTTAATTTTAAAAATAAAATGAAGTTTTGCACATGAGTAGAATATCACAAATTTGTAGAATATGTTGACATTATTATAAAAATAATTTATATGTTATTTATCCCATGGTTAAAAATAAGAATGGTAACATCTTCGATTACTATCATCCAATTGCTTTAGTTACAATTTTCTCCAAGATTCAGGAATATATTTTTGTCTCACATGTTAATGAAAGCTTCATTGAGACTCCCAATCAATTCGGATTTAAGAAAAACCACAGCACTTTTATGCTCATTCTTATTTTAAAAGATATTTAAAATTTTTACCTGTCACATGGCTCAAATATGCATTTAGCATTCATTGACATTAGTAAGGCCTTTGATAGAGTTCGCTTTGACACATTATATATGAAACTCTCTAAAATTATCTCTGGTGTAACTTTACGCTTACTCATTGTCTGGTTCTCAGCTCAGATCCTATGAGATGACATAATATCCAAAACATTTACCATCAGTAAGATTACAGGCCTTGTTTTAAATAATAAATGCTTAATGCGTAAATTGACGTCATAAAATTCTCTTTATCTTTTTTTTTAAAGACATTAACTTTTTTTTTAAATTGCTGCAATGATACTAATTACCGCGAAACGAGTTAGATGTTATTTAACTTGTTTTTTATTAAAACTGTATTAAAACAATAAGTTTATTTCTTTGATTTTTTTATGTTGAATGATTAAATTTAATGTTGCATTAAAAAAAAATATATATATATATATAAAAATTTTTTTTTTTTTGACATTTGTATAAATGAATTAAAATATGTTAAATTTTTTAAAAATGATTATTTCTTAAATAATCATTTTTTTAAATTTGAAACTAAAAAAGATTTTATATTTTAAAAAAATTAGAGAGTAACAATTAAAAAAATTATGTTAAATTATCTGCTTTATTTATTAAAAGTTTATTATTTTATTAGTGATTTTGTTTTGAAAGCAAAGACTATTTTTCCAAACACCATTTGTTAAAATTTTATTGTTGTATATATCATTTATCAAAAAGTAATTGCTACGCTCTACTTGCGTTATAAATAAGTTTAACTTACATTTTGTGCAAATTCTTGAACAGCCTCGAAACACATTTTGTTTAATATTTAATTTTGAGTTAACAAAAATGTTTAGGAAAGAAAACCGAAATAACAAATGCGATAAAAATGAGCTAATTTTTTTTTAAGAAAAAATAAAATTTAAATATTGAGCAATATTTAGTAACATTTTAAAATAAATTTGACAGTTAAGTTAAACCCAAGCATTAACTTTAATTTTATAAATTTAAATATTATTTTATTCAGAACTTATATAACATACACATAACAACACACCACGCCATTAGTAGTACTGCGTTAAACTTGTTTCTCTGTGCAGCACCCTTGTTCGTCAAGGTTCGAACAAAGTAGCCTCCTCGTCTGTAGTAGCCTTCTCGGCTTTGGGGAGGTGAATTAACAATATATATATATATATATATATATATATATATATATATATATATATATATATATATATAAAATCAAATTTTTTTTTTTTTTATCAGAATAAAATTATATATTTTCATTAAATTAGTTTTGAATTAAATCATTTATTTTCTTATCAGAATTAAATTACATTATAATGATCTTTGCTTTAAGCTTAAAGTAGTAACGTTTTTCAAGCGAAAAAATCAATCAATACAATAAAAAAAAAAAATTAAGTATAAATTATTTATTACTATATAGAAATTCAAGTTAATTTTTTTAATGCAATCATTTCTTTTATGGTTTTTTTTTCAATGTTCTGATTAATAACTTCGCATTAAAAAAAATAAAAATTGTTGTTAACAATAAACAATTACCCATCTTCTTTATGCTGATGAAATTTTTTTTTTTTTTTTTAATTAAGTAACATTATTATGTGTTTTTTAAAAGTTACAAAATCCTTGTAAAAAGCCCTTGTTTCACATTAACACGGTTCTCACATAAATTACAAAATATAAATACCTAGGTCATTTAGTTTTAAACGATATGCAGGATGACAAAGATATTCTAAAAAAAGTACATTCTATCTATGCTAAAGCTAACTTCATTCATAGAAAGTTCAGCACAATACAAATACAAACAAAGATCATGTTATTTAATGCCTTTTGCAGTCCAATTTATGGATGTCAGTTATGGTACCATTGGTGTTTAAATGAAGAGCTGAGTTATATTTACAAGACTTACATTTTTCATTGGGTTTTATTTATAATTAAGTGCATTATTTTTCAATCCACTTTATTTTACCCATTGTATAATTATTATGATGGCCTTGAGCCTGTCAATAAATTTGATTGATTGATTGATATATATAAATATATTTAATAAGGATTTTTTTATTTGCTTACTTTTATAGTTTTTTTAAAGAAATTTATTTTCATGTTTTTTTATTTAGAAATCAATTCCGATTTTTTATTAAATAAACATTATTGATTTGCATGTGTAACTATTTCAATTTTTTCTTGTGGGGTCGTCCATAAAGGATGTCATTCAAAATTTAATTACTAAACAGAAATAAAAGTTTATTGGCTCCCTTCCACAGAGATTTTCAATAAAGATAAGGTGCTATATTACTCTTAAAGTCTCTGCGTACGAGAGCCAACATTCTCCTAATTCTTACCATTAGTTAAACTTAATGTGACGTCCTTTATGGATGACCCCTGTGGGCATAATAGCATTTAGTTAATGCTATTATGCCTACAAGAAAATACTGTTTAGAAAATTATATAAAATCTAATTAAAAATAAAATCATTAAAATAAAAAACTCTGTAATATTCTCATTGAGTATTTTTTTTTTTTTTGTATAACAAGACATTATTTATAGCCCTCTATAATTCTTTCCACATTTTTTGTGCAACTCTAGCTAAATTTAATTGTATTTTGATTGAATGTTTTATGCAATTTATTTGAGAGCAAGAAATGTTTAGCTAACAATTTTGGGTTGAATTGAATTTTTGTTTCACTTTTACTTTATATAATATGTACTACTATTACTAAATTAAACAATTCATTTACGTTGAATAATTAATACTTAATAAATCTAAAAAATATATAGTTCAACAATTTCACAAACTTCTGCTCCATCATAATTGTTACAAAAAAGTCAGTGTTTTTCTACTTCTATGCATCCTCATCAAAATAAAGCCTGCAATGCTTTATTACAGGAATTTTCTTATCTGGACTAACTGTGTAGCTGTTTACAAATTCAATTGTTATACCTAAATTATGTGGCATAAAAACGATGATTGATTATGGTAATTACACCAGGATATCCAGTGACTATTGAGTAGCAACAGCGTTTTTTGTGTTTCTTTTTAGAAATAAATATAAACTTCACTTTTGAAAAATAGAAAAATTAGGATTTTAATGTTATACTTATGCATGATTGACACATTTTAATTTGATTTTATTGATGTTGAAAATTTAGTTGTTGTTTTGGTGTCAAATTAATGTTGAAAGAAGGTTAAAAATTTAAACTATTAAAACATTTTTTGATATAACAGACACATTATCTAAGCACTTTCCAAATATCAAAAATATATTCTGACGAAATTAAATGATACAACAGTTTGCCATTTGAAATAAAGAATATGGGGAAGTAGAAACTAAACATAAACATATAGATTATTGTATGTATGTGCATATAAGTTAATTTACAGCAACAATTTTGTAATCAAAATATTTGGCTATTTTATATGATAAAATGTGTGTGCTTAACGTATGTGTTGTTATTTTTTAAAATTTGATATGAATATATGAATATTGACATAGTTTAGGTTGAGGTTGTCATGTGATTACAATGTTATTATTCGAAATAGTAGAAGCCGTGAATTGTTCAGAAAATGTTAACAGTAAAAAAACTCTTAAAAAAAACGTTTATATTATTTTATTTCATTCGAGTTTAATTAAAATGTAAACATTTTTTATGCTTCAGTAAATAATAAATTATTGTTAATTAGTAACTCTTTTAGTAAAATGTTTTAAGCATTGTTAAAAGGATAATTTGTGATGTCTTTGTATGATTATAATGTATGTATGTTTATAAGCATGTCAAAATTTAGCAATAATAAAAAATAAACAATATAAGTTCCGCATAAATGTTATCTATACTTTATTATAAACAGTTTGGCAGTTAATTTACACAAAAAAGTTGTATAGATTTCAAATTTAAAAGTCAAAAAATATAAAGAAGTGATAAATATAAATTTTTACAATTCTTTAGATTGTGTTGTTGTTTAAACAATTTTAAACACAGCAGGTTTTAAGTATTATTATCAATTCTTAACAACTTCTTGGTTCTTTTATACCCACTTCTTCGCGTAATCTCTTACTCTTTTTTAACCACTTTTTTAGATGATACAATCTTTTCTAATCATTTAATAACCACTTCTTCACATGATACAATCTTTCTTAACTCTTATACAACCTTTTTTTTTTGTGCTACAATCTTTCTAGCTCTCAAACAGCTTAAAAACCTTACCACTTTCTTGCATAACCTAACTAAACAGCAGCCTATTGCAAATCAATTTTTAATTCCGAAAAAATAGAAACTATGCCGTAATAATGCATGACATAAATATCAGTACATATTTCTTCACTGGAATAAAAATTATATCATTTTTTTGGCTCGTCTTCATAATGATTTTGTTAAAACATTCTTAATTATCAAAAAAAATTTAAGGATTTTCTCTTATTTTTTGCAATGTTATCACCTCATTCAACATGACTGCCAATGCGATTGTTCTTGTTTGACGTCAAAGCGACTTAATGGATATGTTTTATAAAAAGTAGAACAGCTAAACTTCATTTTGTGTTATTCTTTTTTGTAGTTATCAATGTTACATCTGAAAAACTTTGATTTTATTTATATATAAAACTAATATCAAAGGTGTGTTGGGGTTTTTGTTAAATGTTTTAAACTGGTTTAAAAACATATTTTCTATGTTCATGCCAAATTTTATTGAAATTTTTTATGCAACAGATACCTAATTTCTTGTAGCAGAATATGTACTTAAGTTATATAACTGTAACTACCGTTAGCCGAACAAGGTATTCTAAAATTAATTGCAGTATTAATGAGAAATTCTTGTAATCAAGCTTTGTAACTTAAATTTGCATAACTTTTTGCAGACCTGTTATTTTTTAAATGAAATTTTCACTATTTTTATACTAATTTTAGCTTCTTTAAAATGATAAATAATATTCAAATATATAAATAGTTCGAAACTTTCACACACATACTTAATTATTGCATAAATACATAGTAAAAATTGTAAATAAAATTAAACGTTTTATGTACTGGATTTTATAATCTACCAAGATTAATTTGTAGTGAAATATTTAAAACATTAAAATCAAATTAATTAATAGATAAAAATTAAAATTGATACTTAAATATACTGTACATAACACTGAAAAATAAAATTTACCTAGCCTGTATGTTGATACTTTCTCCAGATACTGAAAGCGAAGAGCTTAAAGACTCAAACGTCATATTTTGTAAAAGCTTCATTTTTTTTTTTTTTTGTGGATAAATTTTAAAAAAACCTGTAAAAGTTAGAGGTAGACTATAAACGTTTCTGAAGTAATAATTTTTAAATATTAGAATAATTGCACAAATGCAAAAAAAATATATATATGTATATATGCAAACGCTATGAATAGTTCATTCACAGTATTCAAAAAAATAATAAATAAAAAAGTAAAACTTCCTATAATACAACAGAACTTGTATTACTTTTTTAAGTTAAAAAAAAAGTAAACAAAAACTTTATTCATCAAAGAAAAAAAAATTAATAATGGTATTTAGTAAGTAGGAGGACATTACTCACCCGTACAGGTTTTTTTAAATGCTTACCGTAAATAAAGCAACTAACGAACTTGTGAAAAACCACTGGCCGTCTCTTCTGGCTATTCTCATCTCTCCATTAAGCTTAACGGAGCATTTGTCAAAAAGTTCTTTTTAACAACATTAATAAAAAAAATTCTTTAAAAAAATAATTTTTTAAATAAAATTGTTTTACTTTAGTCTTATTTAAACAAATTTAAATAAAGTTTTTGTCATTTCTTTACTTAGAAACGTTGTAATGAAATTTTTGACAAACGCTCCGTTAAGCTTAACGGAGAGATGAGAATACGGCTGCAGAGCGCTGTTTAAGTAACGGGCCGCGACTAGCGAAATTTAAAAAAAATGTGCGCCCGATATTTAAAAATCAATATGATGAATATTATTTGTTTTAAAATACAATATGTTTTATTTAACGTTTCTCTGATACTTTAGACAGTGTAATGATTGATAAAAATTTATAAAACAATTTATAAATTGACAGAAAACAATTTTTTACACGGCAAACAATTTGGATTTTAAAAAAAAACTACTCAACCAATCATGCTATAATTCAGCTGTATCTCATATATCTAATGCTTTTAGTAATGATTGCTTAACATTAGGAGTTTTTATTGATCTTTTTGTTTGATAAGTAATCTTTATTTTAAAGGTTATTTATCAAACAGAAAGCAAAATATTCAGTATGAAACAACAAAAAGCACCATAAATTGTGGGGTTCCCCAAGGCTCGATCTTGGGACCGTTGTTATTTTTACTCCGTATAAATGATTTATATTCAACATCAAACTTATCAAATTTAATCTTATTTGCGGATGACTCCAATTTGTTTTATTTACATAGAGACATTAAGACACTTTTTAACACGGTTAACAAAGAATTACATAAAATAAACGAATGGTTCATGTGTAACAAACTCTCTTTGAATGCCAAAAAGACTAAATTTATCCAATTTCATAAAACAAATAAGAAAGAAAATTTGTCGTGGAAGCTCCGTATAAACACTTTAGAGAGAAAGCTCTCAAGAAATATTTCATTAATGTATAAAGCAAAAAACTTTCTAAATATCATGTCTTTAAAAAGCTTATATTTTTCATCAAACCATAGTCACCTAAGCTATGGTAACATGGCCTGAGCAAGCACAAATTTTACTAAGTTTAAAAAACTCTACAGTAAACAAAAATCTGTAGAACTGTCTTTAGTGTAAGTAAAAAAGTGTCGTGTGAGCCGCTCTTCTGCAAACTAGGAGCGTTGAATGTATACAAAATTAACATACATCTTGTTTTACAGTTTATGTACAAAACAAAATATGGACGAAATAAGCCCTAATAGATCTTCATACAATAACTTTTTCATACTAAGGTTTACATTAAAGCTAAATTCATACTCAGTCCAACACCGCGGACCTTATATGTGGAAACTTTTACCCCAAATTTTTACTATCAAGAAAAATACACTTGAACAGTTTATATTTGAATCAAAGCGCTTTTTATTATATGCGGACTTAATTTTCTTTTCCTATTTCAGTAAAATAATATAAACTAGCACTATTTATTTATTTTATTTACTTTTACTTTTATTTGTTCTAAATTTATTTTTAAAAAAGGAGTTATATATTAACAGTTATATAAATTTTGAAACGTAGTTTTTACACGTTTAATATATTTTTTATAACATGGAATTATCACGATTTTATATATTTTATTTTAAAAAACAATCTGTAATGAAGCCATAATGAGGCTCGGTGATAAGACAAACTGGTGTCTTTTTCTTGCTCCAGCCATTTGTTTTATTATTTATGTTATTTTATAAATTTTTAACTTTCTACGGCAAAATTATAAAAAAAATTTAAATTTAAAGAAATATATATATATATATATATTTTTATTAATAAGAAGAAATAAGATGAAAATCAAAATGCGACGATTCTATTTTTGATTTTTGTTCCTTTACACATATGATTTATTATAATTCCTGTATATGTGTTGATTGTTTTATGGATTTTTCCTGATAGCTTGTCATGCGCAATGCCGTTTTTCCAAATTCTAAATAAACTTAACTTGTTCATTGTTTTGATCTCTGATGACAGCATGTTGATCATCACTAAACTTACAATCTTCAATTACACTTTTTACATTTAAAATTTTCCACCATGTGGCATCAATTTTTTAAAATCAGCAGCTTCTTTATGATTAAAATGTCGAAAGTTTTAAGCTGACTAAATAAAGCGCTGTATGTTTTGTCAGAAAACACCTTTAGGCAGATTCAAATCAGAACGTTTCATTTTGATTCATCTTTTTGCTTTACCATATGACTCTATAACTGCTTCTACAATCAAATGAATTTGATTGTAGATTTACAATCAAACTTATTTAATTGTAGGGTTACATTTAACAAGAAGATTGGTACAATTACACATACAAGCTATAAAAACACCTAAAATAGTTTTTGTATGAGAATCTTGGTTATCTAATGATTTTCTAAAAACAAGAATGTAATATTTTTATACTTTTTTATATTTTTTTTATAAAATTTTTTACATTTTGTCTCGAAGAACAATAAAAGTTCTTTGATTATCAATTAAAAATTATTAAATTATCAAAATCATTAATAAAAATTTTTTATTATATTTATTAATATTTATTAATTTCAGTACTTGTAAAGTAATGCGAATTAATGTAGACGAAAAGTATCCAAACACTCAAATGTTCTGATAATTTATTCAAATTTAGACCATGTGTTAACAATATTAGACGCAGTATAAACTTTTTTTTTCACACTATTGAAATATTGGATTCAAAATTTAAATAGCTATCAAATTTAATGCGAAACTTTGGTGTCACATAATTAATCATAATTATCCAAATTCTACTTTGAAACTAGTGAGTAAAAACTACCAAGAGTTTTCATAGTCTAATCGTTTGTTATAAGAAATAAAAATGAGATAAGAAACAAAGTGTCAAGTTATTTCTAATTTGAGGTATAAATCTTGCGGTTTAACAAAGTACTGATTTGACTGTTGGATATTGCAAAAACACCGTAATTTCAGCAAGAAAAAACACACTAAAATATAATTTTTTCATTTAACTGACTGAAAATTTTAAAGGTAGTTTAATTTTAGAAGCATTTTAAAAGTGCAAGTTAAAAATCGAGTTAAAAATCAAGAAGTTTATAAATTTAATGTAATGGTAACGATTTAAATTTATCAATTTAAATCATTACCATTGATTTGTTTATGTATAAATTGATAATATATAAAATATATTTTCATATATATATATATATATATATATATATATATATATATATATATATATATATATATATATATATATATTCACGCTATTATTTCGAAGCGAACGGACGTGTTTTTTAAGTGTTGTAAAATTTGTAAAAGGAATCGATTAAAGATAAAAAAATAAAAAGTAAAGTAATCAGAAAAGCTTTTTTCTGATTAAAGAAAGAAAGAAGAAAGGTTATTGTTTTTAATTGTGCAAAGATTGATTTATCGATAAAAAATATTGAGAAACTAATAATATCTAAGCTTGAAGATTAGAAGCAAAACTTTTTAAAAGAAACTGAAAAGCTATTAAAAAAACAAGAAAAAACCTTTACAAAAATAATGATTTCCAACATAAAAATAATGTCAGACAAGCTAGATAAAAATGAATAAGAACTTAGTTTTAATACATCCCGAGTTGAAGTACTTAAAAATGATACTAGCGACATTAAAGATAATATTAACTTCCAAGAAGACAACATCAAGGAAATGCTTTCTCAACTAAATCTAAAGATCAATAAAGAAAAAAGTTCTATGAAAAAAAAAACTATAGATCTAGAAAATAGATCTTGTCGCAATAATTTAAAAGTTGATGGTATTGCAGAACTACCGACTGAAACATGAGATGACTGTGCAAGAGCAGTTTAAAGCATCTTTAAAAACCAGCTTGGAATTGCCAATAATATAGTTGGTTGAGCGAGCCCATCGAATAGGAAGAGTTAAAAACAAACTATCAAGAACTATATTCCTCAAAGTCTTAAATTATAATGATAAATGCAACATTTTAACATCTGTGAAAATAACATAATTGCGGTTATAAACGGTGATTCTCACAGGAATGGGTGAAACTAGCGATTTTAAATACCAAGTTTTTAATTTTACTAAAATAAAGACTTTAATAGATATAAATGTAGAAAATGACCCAAATTATTTTCATGATTTAAATAATAATTGCTTTTAATATCCTTGTGAAATAGAAGAATCTCTTTTTAATCCCAATAACTTTAGTTTTAGTTACTTATAATTTTAGTTACAAATAACTTTGTAAAGCTACTTTACTTAAAATAGGGGGAGGTGGGGGGGGGGGCCAAAATTCTACATTTCTTATTTAACCAGTTATTCTTAATTATTTTTTGAGAAAAGTTCAAAAAACAATTCAGTTTTTGCTAATTTTTTATGGTTGACCTTCTACTTCCAATTTAAAAATTTAAAGATATAAAAAATAAAAATCTTTACAAAAGTTTCTTCGCCTATAAAGTTACGCAACTTTTCTTTCAAACTTATGCTATTCAAATTTTGATTGGATAAGTTTAATTTTTAATCGTTGCGTTTAAGAAAAAAAAGTTTCGTCTAAAGTTTTTTTTCTAAAAAAACGTTTTAAATAAGTAAAACGACAGATTGCTTCAAAAAAAAAGTTTTATCTGAAGTCGTTTTCTAAACAAAACGTTATAAGT